GACATACTATACTATGACTTTTTTTTCATGATTTTTGACGACATGCTATACTATGATGTTTTTTCATGATTTTTGACGACATGCTATACTATGATGTTTTTTCATGATTTTTGATGACATACCATAGTATGACTTTTTTTTTATGATTTTGGACGACTTGCTATACTTTGACGTTTTTTCATGATAATGGCGACATACTTTACTGTGACTTTTTTTATGATTTTTGACGACATACTATAGTATGACTTTTTTTTCATGATTTTTGACGACATACTATACTATGACATTTTTTCATGATTTTTGACGACATGCTATAGTATGACTTTTTTTTCATGATTTTGGACGACATACTATACTATGACTTTTTTTCATAATTTTGGACGACATACTATACTATAACTTTTTTTTATGATTTTTGACGACATACTATACTAGGATGTTTTTTCACGATTTTTGACAACATGCTGTACTATGACTTTTGTTTCATGAGTTTTGACGACATACTATACTATGTATAGTATAGTATGTTGTCAAAAATCATAAAAAAAAGTCACAGTAAAGTATGTCGTCAAAAATCATAAAAAAAAGTCACAGTAAAGTATTTCGTCAAAAATCATAAAAAAAGTCATACTATATTATGATTTTTGATGACATACTATACTATGACTTTTTTTTATGATTTTTGATGACATACTATACTAGGATGTTTTTTCACAATTTTTGACAACATGCTATACTATGACTGTTTTTCGTGATTTTGGACCCCATACTATACTGTGACGTTTTTTTTAATGATTTTTNCATACTATACTGTGACGTTTTTTTTAATGATTTTTGACGACATATTATCCTGTGACATTTTTTACTATGGTTTTTGACGCCATACTATACTATGACGTAACTTAGTGATTTTTGACGACATACTATTCTATGACTTTTTCAAACATTTTTATGACATAGTATACCTCCACCTTTCCTGGAGCATAAACTCAGGTCTTTACGCCAAGTGTCAGTCAGGTGTGGGACGTCTGCAGTATTTGTGTTCATACATGTAGAAGTTGATGTTCAAGTCAAATCACATTTATTTGTCACACATACAATCATACACATTTTACTTTTTATGTTCAAAAAGAACTTAACCATCACTGTCAGAAAATGATTTTCAGTACGTACACTTTGTCAACAACCACGACTGAAACAGTTAAGTTTAGTGTTGTAGCTCACAAGTTGTTATTACAAATCTCACTGTTGGCTCATGTCTCTTCCTGCCTCAGGTTTCCTGGTGCCAGCGGTGGGGTCAGGGGTCGGAGTTCCAGGTGGTTGCACTGCTCACTGTGTGGTGGTGCTGCTGGAGGGACTCGAGAAGGCTTCATCCCTAACAGGCCTGCTGGGCGACCTCTGCCATAGTCTGGACAACAGGGGCTATGCCTCACCTCTGGTCCTAAACACTGGTATGACTCACTGCAGCTGTGCTTTGACTTAAATCATAACCAAACACTAAGATTAAAGTCTGTATATGCTGTAATTAAGTGAATATGACATTATAGTGTTTACCACCTTTATTTGATCCCCAAACTTCAGTTGTCACAGCAGAAATGAACACAGAAAATAAAGTAAAGAAATAAATAACAAGAGCTGTATGAAACTAAAGTGATTTACAAAATACAAACTATACAAGAACATACAAAGAAAAAAACTGCAAATCAAAGTGACAGTAGTGTGATTAACAGCAGCAGTCACCAAGTCTATCTTCACAGCCACAAGACTAAAATATGATTTCAGTCGATTTAAAGTGTAGAATATAATGTAAAAATTATAACATATTAACACAATATAGTACAAAATGATGAATTATGAAATAGTATGAATTATGAGTTAAAGTCTGGAGTTAAAGATAGTATAATACTGTAATATGCATCAACACCAACTATGACATTGACATGACTTTCTTTTTACATTTTCATGAAATATTATACAATGACCTTTTTTCCCATAATTTTAATGACGTACTATGTTGACTGTTTTTTCAAAATTTCACACACTATGACTTCTTCCCAACATTTTTATGACATACTATACTATGACCTTTGTTTTCCCCAACAACTTTATGACATACTATACTATGACCTTTTTTTCCCCAACAATTTTATGACATACTATACTGTGACCTTTTTTCCCCAACAATTTTATGACATACTATACTATGACCTTTTTTTCCAACATTTTTCACGACATAATATACTATGACCTTTTTTCCAACATTTTTCATGACATACTATACTGTGACCTTTTTTTCAATATTTTTATGGCATACTATACTGTGACCTTTTTTTCAACATTTGGTTATCCAAATATAAATCAAGAGAACCTTTATTTTTCTGTAAATACCATTCATGTTACCATAATCTACAAAAAGATAGAATTCAGTATTATGTCTGGTTTATCTGTTAATGCAGTATCTATGTTTACTTTTACTAAAAACAATATAATGCAAATGTAGCAGAATCAGAATTACTCAGCAAGTGTATTATATATACAAGTATTTGGTGCAGTGGTTTGGTATGACTGTCCCTTTTAAACACGTGACTATGTGTGATCGTCATGTCCTAAAACTCAAACCACCAAATGAATGGTTGAATATTGTCAAATGAACCCATGTCCCTCCTGTTAATTCCTCCTTCAGGTCCCCACCACTTCCACGAAGGCAGCTTCCTGATTGCGACGCTGTCGAAGCCCCGCCTGCAGGGATCGGAGCTCCGCCTGCAGCAGCATTTCCGCTGGGTAACACTGCGCTGGGATCAGGAGCCGCTGCAAGGCCTGCTGGGAAGACACCTCCGCAGGAAGCTGCTTCATAAGGTCAGTTGGAGGTTCAGCTGCACCTGAGAGAGACGGAGACGTTGTGTTCACTTTGTGTCTTTGTTTCAATTGTTAGCAAACAGTAAATTAAAAAATCACATTTGGACGTGCTGCTGTGGTTCATATCTATGAGGATAAGGAGTCTGGCGTCATCCAGAAACATTAATATATGAAATAACAACGTGTCTATGCCTCCGCACTGGTGTCAGCCGTGTCTGTACGTCTGTCCCATCCTTTTGAACTTATCTCAAGAATGCTTCAAGAGAATTTCTTAAAATTTGGCACAAATGTCCACTTGGACTCAGCAATGATTTCATTAGTTTTTGGTGGTCATAGGTCAAAGGTCAAGGTCGCTGTGACCTTGTCTGTCTTATTGTCGTGAACATGATATCTCAAGAATGCCTTCAGGCAATTTCTTCCAATTTAGCACAAACGTTGACTTAGACTTGAGGATGAACTGATTAGATATTGATGGTCAAAGGTCAGAGGTCATAGATCACTGTGACCTTAAATTCATTCCCATGAACGTGATATCTCAAGAACAGCTCAAGGGAATTTCTTCATGGATCAAGTCTTCTCAGATTTCCCACAGTCTTACACTGTGACCAAAACAAATGCAAAAAAAAACAAGTTTAAAACTTAATATGGTTAATTTTAAAATTAGTTAAATATGAGATGGTTTGTTGTGAAGATAATTCCAAAGACTTTGTTTTAGTCAGAGTATTGACAGTATTACATTAATGTGAGTTTGAAACAGAGCAGTATCATGAATAATTAACTGTCTACAGGAGCTGGTTTGTTGTGAAGCAGATTGTTCTAACTGATCAGTAATAAACCTCCTCTTTGTTCCATTGCTCTCTCAGTTAAAGTTCAGCAGTGTATATAAAACAAAACATCCCTTCCCCCGTCACTCCTCCAGGTGGGGACGGCAGTTTGGTCACCTGATGGCGTCATGGAGCGGTCGGTGTTGTGGGTGAGTCAGGTTTGGCAGCAGCTCAATGCCTGTCTGTCCCGTCTGGGGACCCATGAGGCTTTGCTGGGCCCGCAGCTCTTCCTGTCCTGCCCTGTGGTCCCAAACAACACACAGGCAGTCGTCAGGTGTGTATGTGTGTGTTAGTGCTGATGTGTGTGTGTGTTCATGATATATGTTAGCACAGGATGAATTCAGATTGTTTCAGGTTTAGTTGATGAAGCAGACACAGGGAGACAACTTGCCTCTGCTGCTTGGTTCACATAAGATTTCATCATGACCTAATTATTTTCCTCATGTTCTCACGCTGAATATTCACGTGTTTCTTTGTTGTAAAAAGACTAAAGAGAGTATTTGATTGAGGGTAAAAGCAGGAGTAACAACTCTATGAAAAACTTACTGATAGTGAGGAGAAAATTGGGAGTGCTGCACGGGGTTAGGGCTCTGTGTAGTTAGTTGTAAAAAAAAATCAGGTGCTCTTTAAGGGCGGGACAAAGAGTCACTTAAAGATAAAAAACAGCGACTGGCAGCTCACTCAGAGTTGAATACCAGAATACAGGCAGACAGTCCAAAAATGCATCCGAGGCAATAGTTAAAAATCCTCCATCCTGAATGATGAAGACTCCCTAGTTGAAGCGCGTTGGTTTATCCATGTATTGATAAAGGATTTTGATAGTTGTGGTATCATAACAGCCTGTCACAGGTTACAGCCTGATGATTAGAGGAGAAATGGCAGAGCATAAAGGTCCAGGTGGAAAAAACAACTCAGTCATTTAGGATTTTACTAAAAGAAGGAAATCAGCTGTTGATTTATATATATAGATCCCAGGGGACATTTTTTGTATTTGGGAGCTGTTTAAATGTGTAATTAGTGGCAGATTTTATTTAGTTGAACTATTAATATTGTAACAGAATCTGAATCTCACTGAGTTACTGTTGTTGTTCACAAACTAAAGAAATGAGAGATTATTTTAATTTTTACTGAATATTTTAGGGTAAACTTTAAAACTAGATCACTGATTCTGTTGCACTTCTGTCTTCTTATAATAATAAAATGTTTTTTTACTAATGTGTCATATCGTGTTGAATATCAGTACTGCAAAAATAAGATAATAATTTAGGGTCATATGGCCCAGCCCTGCCTAATACTCATTTTTACTGAACAGAGCTTGAACGCATCATAATGTAACCCAATGCAGCCACCGACTGCTAACAGCTAAGGTTGACTCGCTCTCCTGCCGACTTTACAGAGGTTTGGTGTTCACAGTGTGGCGTCATCAAGGAAACAACTGAGTGCGTCCTCTGATGTGACGACAGTGAGTTTACTGCGTCATTTTGTCCTGAAGGCGTCCCATGCAAGATCTCCGTTTGTCACAGAATTGTGTTCTATTGTCCGCGGGACAACAGGACGATGTTAGTATTGAGCCCTGTGTTTTAGCCTGCACAAAACTGATGTGACACAACAGAGAAACATCGGCCACTGCCATCAGTGACTGTTCTTATTTGCTGATAGGCTGATGACAGTCAGTGAGGCAAATATCGACGTACGGGTGATAAATCGGTGCATCCCGATGTTACTATGATACTAAAGAGCAAAGCAGGAGCTGGAGCCAGGGAAAGTTTGTGATTTTAACTTAATAAAATGTGTATTATTTAATCATTTATTTGTTATTAATTCCTTTTTCTCAAGTTAGTAATCAATAAAATTACCAATTGTTTCAGCACTCAGTCTCTGGGAGCTGTGTGTCCATGTTTCAGAGCCATACCACCCTCTGAGGTTAAACCAGGAAATAGTTTTATAAACCGTGTGTGTGTGTGTGTGTGTGTGTGTGTGCGCGCGCGTGTGTGTGTGTGTGTGTGTTCAGGTGGCTGGCTCGCCTCTGGAACGCCGTGGTGGTCCCCCGTGTGGAAGAGGCCATCATCTTACGGGTAACAGCCAGGCACCCCACCACCACCACCTCTTCCTCCTCCTCCTCCTCCTCCTCCTCCTCGCCGTCATTGTCGCAGCGACCGTCTCCTAGCAACTGTGGGCTGAGTGCCGGGCAGCAGGCTGTGGTGAAAGCCGCCCTCAGCATCCTGGTCAACAAGGCTGTTCTCCAGGGCTGCCCTCTGCCGCGGCACGGTGTGTGTGGGCGTCACAGATGATGAAGAGGCCTCATTCACGTTTCACCAGCTGCAGGAACACAGAGGAGAGATACAAAGACACTGATGTGTGTTTTGTTCCTTTTATTTCCCGCAGAGATCGACAGGTACCTGCTGGAGTTCAGGGGCGGGACCTTCCCCCTGTCAGCCATCGGCTCCTATAAAGGAAGTGGCGGTGGAGGAGGAGGGAGGAAGGGACGGGACAGCGGCAAGTTGAGACGATCCAACACCAGCCCTCGGAAGAAGGGAAGCCCCGCCTTGAGCTGGAGCTCTGGCGGATCCTTCAGAGAGGGTAAGATGGCCGCTCCGCTCTGCCAGCAGTGACACAAGCTGTGTCCCCGTCCAAGATGCTCTGACCTTAATGTAAATGGTCGCGTCAAAGGGACAAAGGCTGAATCCAAACGTCCACCCTCTGGACCTGAAGACCTCAGTTATAAGTAGTGTGACGTATTTACTGTCATCACGTAAAGTCTGCAAGGGCAGAGACTGCAAGCAGCTGACAGACAGCCCTGGAGACTGTTTTACTCGTTGCCGTGGAAACATTCAACTATCGCTGCTGTCATATTCATATATGTGTCATATAAGTTGATGAACAGTGCTGAACTCATCTGTTCCTGCAGTTAACAAGATACAAATCACATGTTGAAAGTTTTGTTGTGGCTAAACAAATATGTATTAATACATGTCTATATAACAGGCCGCACACGTTCAAAAACAGAAATGTATATTGAGTGTTACTCACATTAGAAACCTTTTGTTTTTCAGACAATTTTTTTAGCCTATTTCAGTGCGCTGCAATAATAGAATGTATTCTCAGTCCCTCTACAGCCTGTACTTAAACATATCTCTGTATCATGATGTGGTTGAATATTATTTCTAGCCTACACACTTCAAGTAACATTTTATTAGACCTAACTATCAATAACTATTTTACACATTCACACATTTTTTTTCTTGTGGACTGGAGCAATTGTGGATTTGGAAAGCGCTTAGCACTCCCAAACTTCCCAGGACAAAGTCAGCAAGTCTGCAAGTGGTGAAGTCATTTGGATTCAGCCACTCCTCGTCAATTTGTAAAGTAAAACAACACAACACAAAGTGTATTGACAGGAAGTTTTCCTCAAAAGTGCAAAAAAAAAAAAAAAAAAAAAAAAAAAAAAAAAAAAAAAAAAAAAAGGCAGTAAATTTGACAGGTCCCAAAGTCAAGAAACATAAACATACAGAGGGAAAAATACAATAAAATATAAGAAGATTTTATTTAAAAAAAAAAAAAAAAAAAAACTATAAAAGATACACCAGTGGTGTCTCCATGCATTGCAGCTGCATTTGAATTCCTTAAAATGGGACAGACTTTGTTGACTTGTCATGAAGTTTGGGGTCAACAGATGTGAATCTGATCTGAGGAGCTGGCTTTGTGTCAGCAGCCTCCACAAGGGGGCGTGGTTTAGTAGTCTTAACACTGTTCCTGTTCCTCTGGATGATCCACAGACCTCAGCGTGGAGAGTTTAACACCATGTTTAACCTTCATTCATGAGTTGTTTCAAAAACTGCTGATGGAAAATGTTTAGATCATCCTGAGTAACTGAGACAATGTTTGTGTGAGGACACAGAACTGTTTTTCTTGTATTAAACGAATAATGTGAGTACAACTAAAAACGCTGGGTGGAGGTAGAAATCTCTCTCTTTGTCCTGACCTGTTTGAGTCGTGTTTATTAACCAGTTTGTTCATTTACGTTTGTGACTGCAGGTTCACTGTCGAGCACTGATGTCAGCTTCATCTCCAACGGCAGAGTCCAGAGGTTTGTGTTCTGTCTCATGATGATTATAAGTTGAGTTAGTGTTTTTGTGATGCTCCACATCCTGTATGAAGAGCTCAGGTATGACACTAACTTTAATGTCATTGTGTGTGCAGGGAGCCTGTGGGTCTGTCTGTGTTCTCTGATGACGAGACTGATTTAATCAGAGAGCTGCAGACCATGTGCTCCAGCAAGTCAGAGCCAGACATCAGCAAGGTAATGACACACACACACACACACACACACACACACACACAGATTCAGAATAAGTGATCTCCTCACTCTTTAAGGAAAATACATGTAGATGGCTCTCTATCACCATGTGTCTCCATCATCTGACAAAATGCTGAATAAGCCACTCTGTGCTTAATTCTGTCGCCTTTCTAAACACTTTACTTTCAGTTCACATGTTTTGACTCATTCTTGACTCTGTAATTCTTAGCTGTCATCCTTTCAAATACAGACATGAAAGTGTGTGTTGGAATTTCACTAGCATGGTGATGATCTTTACCTTTGACCAGCTCCTGTGCTGTTTGAGATGAGGCATAGAAGCATTTATTAGGACAGTTTAGCTTTTCTTGAAATTCAAAAATGTCTGAACAGGAAACTGTTTCAGTGTGACCACTCAGCAGCTTCACTGGTGTGAGTCTTTAAAACATAAGATCAAATTTGATCATTTCTCTGAAAACGTTTGTTCAGTCTGACATTCAGTCAGCGTCCCAAAGATAATCTAGATCATCTATATACTTTTTAATTATTATTATTATTTTTTTAAAAAGTCATTGTATTGTATCTGATACAAAAATGTCATGAAATGAAAGTCACAGTATAGTACGTAAACAATTAATTAAAAAGTCAGTGTGCCAAAAACAAATTAAAAAATGTCACAGTGTGTGATAAAATGTCAAATAAAGTCGTAGAATAGTATGATTAAAAAAAAAGTCATAGTATAGTTTGTGATAGAAAAAACAATATATTGAAAAAGTCATGGCATAGTATGCAAAAAAAATATTAAAAAGATTCATAGCACCTTATGTGATAAAAAAAAAAAAATTCTAATAGAAGTCATTTATTAAAGTCTTTATTAAAAAGTCATAGTGTAGTGTGTGATAACAAATTTAATTTCAAAAGTTCTAGTTAGGTATGGGATAAACAATGTCCTTATGTAAAAGTCACATAGTATGTGAAAAAAATTACATTAAAAAAGTCAAGGTATAGTATTGGTTTTAAAAAGAATAATTTGAAAGAGTTATGATATAGTAAGTCATAAAAATGTTTTAAAAAAAAGTCATACTATAGTGTGATAAAATTTCATTAAAAAAAGTTCAAAATATAGAATGTGATAGAAAAAAAATAAATTGAAAAAGTCATGGCATAGTATGTGATAAAAAAATTAATTTAAAAATTCATAGTTAGAAATTATAAAAAAAGGTCACATCAATGTCAATCAAAATGCCATTGTGTAGTATATCATAAATAAAGGTCCTAAAAAGTCACAGCATAGTATACAAAACAAAATCATTAAAAAGATTCATAGTACCTTATGTGATAAAAGAAAAATCTAATGGAAGTCATTGTGTAGTTTATTAAAAAGTCATAGTGTAGTGTGTGATAAAAAAAATAATTTCAAGAGTTCTAGTCAGGTATGGGATAAACAATGTTCTAAACAAAAGTCATGGTATAGTATTGGTTTAAAAAAGAATAATTTGAAAGAGTCATGATATAGTAAGTCATAAAAATGTTTTAAAAAAAAAGTCATACTATAGTGTGATAATATGTCATTAAAAAAGTTCAAAATATAGTCACAGTGTAGTATGTGCTAAAAAAAAAAGTCTTAAAAAGTAATACTATGTCAAAACTACTTAAGTCACAGTATAGTGTGTCATTAAAACTTCATTTTAAATGCCATTAACACATCATCGTGAGCCATACAGAGTCATAACAGAAGATATTTGTTTCATGTGAAGCCCTCAGTCATGTGCTGACTCCCTAAACTGGCCTCAGTCATCAATACTCTGACACCCTGACTTTAATGCTGCTTAAATATATTTCCACCCACATTCTGCTGAAGAACACTGATCTGTTTGAGGTGTTTAAAATGATTAAGAAATAAAAAATCCCTCAATGACATACTTTACTTTGTTTCTAAATTACTGGTGTCAGAATCAGCCTTTAAAAACTAATCCCCTAATCTCAGACCTTCATCTGTGTGACCCTGACGCTGGCGACGACTCATCACCAACATCCCGCCCTGTAATTTACCTTTAAATAATGACTCACCTGTCCAACACTCACAGAGCAGACCTGTTTAAATCTGTGTCATTGCTCACATCCAATCAGGGTTTGTCTTCCTGCTGTTTAACGCTCACTCCCGCTCATCGCCCGCAGATCTCTCAGGCCAAAGACGACTTGATCCTGTTCTCCAGCTCACCCAGCGAAGCGACGCCGCCCCACAAGGCCGAACAGGAAACCGCAGTCCAGCAGCGACCGCAGACGGTGAGAGGGAGAAAAAAGATACTTGGTTTTTTTATCATAACTGTGTTTAATGTGTGTGGAAAAATGTGTGTTCTCCAGCAGCAAAGAGAAACAGGACACAGCAGATGAGACTGGAAACAAGAATAAGTCTATTTAGACATGCACAAATATTTAAAGGAACAGTCCACTGAAAATAAGTGCACCCTCCATTTGGCTGCACAGCCTGATATTAGACGTCTTTATTTTTTTTGTTCTCTGTAGAAAAACAACAAACACCCTGAACTTTATGTTTTTCACTCCACTCAGCGACGTGACTGAGCCACAAACCAGTGACTCAAATTGAAAATGAACGTGTGTGATTGTTTTGTCCAGGTGTTAATCATGTGTCTGGTGTTTGTTTGCTGTGACCTCACACATAATTGAGCTGTGCAGCAGGTGTAGGCCTGACCTGCTGTACGCTGTGACATCACTGCAGGTGTAGTTGAAACATCTTTCACTCATTGTTTTGGTGTTACAGCAAACTGATGGTGTGATTTACCTCCATCGAGGAGGTCAGGTTTTTGGTTCAGTGTGGACAGAAGCTCCCGTCTGTCTCCATATGTGATGATGAGCAGTGATCCACAGTCACATAACTAGTTCTCACTCGTTATTCATCTTATCAGCTTTTAAAATTTGGCTCTTCCGATTGATTTGAGCTGCTTTGTCTGCGAGCAGGTCTCCATGCTGTGGAGTGAGATGATCCTCCAGCACCCAAAATGCTGTCAGAAATCGCTTTTATAAAAGTCAGTGCAGCCTCCGTAATTCTCAGGAACAAGGTGCGGAGAAAACAGAAAGCTTAATATGACACCAAAGCACAGAGATGCTGATTTGCACAGGACTGATATCACACGATCAGTGTGTTTGGTGCAATCTGGCAGGTAATTTGCGGTGGAATTTTTACTTGCCAAACGATGGACATGGCAGTCGGGGATTAAGATCACAGACCTGCACAATTAATACAAATTACCAGAGTCCCGAGATATGCTGTAAAGCCATCTGAGGCTAATTGTGATTTGTGATATTGAGCCTTAAAGATCAAATTTAAACTTAATTAAAAATGAGTTTGAGGCATTCTCTGTGATTGGGCTGTGAGTACTCTGAGTATTAAATGTGCCACATAAATAAATGTGACCTGCAGGTAAAACTTGTCCCGTGAGAGCAGGTGTCAGTGTTGCATTGTGGAAATGACAGTAGTTGTGTAAACCAGAGAAAAGAGGAAATGTCTCACCTGTGGACAGCTGGTCAGTCACTGCAGGAAGTGTGACCTTCGTGTCAACCTGAAAAAACAGTTACACTCAGGTTAGGATGTTCCAACAGCTGCAGGTGTGAACGTCACTCCTCTGTTGCGTTCACACCTGCAGTCAGATACCTGTGGATCAGCAGGTGGTTAAAATGTCTCCAGCTCACCGACCTCTCTGTGTCTTTGCTCAGACCGTCGTCCGTCAGTCCAGCCGCAGCTCCAGCCAGGCAGCCGTCCAGAGCAGCGACCGACGCTCAGGCCCCCGCGCCAAATCGCAGCTCCCCGTCCCCAGCAGCAGGGGGCAGCAGCAGACACGAGCCTCCACTGCTGCCTCCAGCAGCAACAATAACGGCAGCAGCAGCAGCAGCAGCAGCCCCAGCCGAACCCAGACGCCCCCCAGCCGCAGCAGAACCTCCAACAGCAGCAGCAGCAGCAGCAGCAGCAGAACAAAGCAGGCTCCTCCCAGCAGCAACAACAACTACTACCGCAACAGCATCAACGACAACAACCAATCACACGATGACATCTGGATCCTCCACAGAGACCTGCATGAAAACAACAACAACAGCAAGTAGACACCCCCCCCCCGCCCCTCCTCCCCTCCTCCCCTCCTCCCCCGCCCTCCCTGATTCCGCTGTGAAAACCTCCCTCCATGATGTAAAGACTAGGTACCTGACGACCTTTGACTTTTAGTATTTGTACTTGTTATCCGTACTTGTTACACTGTACTACAGTTGTGTACTTGGGGACCATAGTTTTATTCTATCACAGTATTTGAAGTATTTGTTTGGTTTGACTTTAAATAGGGAGAAAACAGCCGAAGGTAACGCAGCAGCAGGTTACTTTTACTGTTGCCTTATTCCAGTGTTTCAACCTGCGTATTCTGGGACAGTGTTCAGTAGACGACATGCGGTGGAAGAATTTACTGAAATAAGTTGTGACATAAAGTATTTGACAGGTGGAAACTGCCTCAAAACAGAAGTGACACAGTGTTTTTGTGTTCTTAAAGTGGAATACTGAACTGGTGCGACTGGTATAAGGCCATCGAAGAGTAACTGGAGGTTCTTACAGGTTGTTACCTTTTAGTGAAACGTGTTTTTTGGATCAAAGAAAGAAACAAGCAGGTTTTTCTTTTTCTTTTTTTGTTGTTTTTGCTATTAAGTATTTTGAGATATTCAAGTGTTTTATCTTTAAATAGTTGCAAGGTTGGTTTAAATACTGTTGAAATTAATCAGGGTTTTACCAAATATATTTGTAAATAAGAATTAGTAAGTTTAAATGCTCTATAGATTGGTGTATGTGGTACAGTATGACGCTTGTACAGTGACGAAACCTTAAAGCAAAACTGCTGAAAAAAACAAACTTGTACATAGTGTTTGTAAAACGAGTTTGGTTCTGAACCCTTCACTTGTTTCAGAGTGACGGGCCGTGGCAATAAGTAATAGAACTGTATAAACACAGGATGTCCTATCAACTGTAAGCCATAATAAATATTTTAAATGCCCATCATTTTTCCCTGAGTCATGTTTCACCCCAGCTGAGCCCAACAGTGTAATTCATACTTCTTTGTTTTGTTGCTTTCCATTACCACTGTGTTCTTTGTATGTTTTTACTTTCAAGGACAAGGTTTCTGTTCAGCGGACATTGTTTATATATATAAATATATCTATACATATGTACAGGAGAGATTTTAGTCAACCTATGATTTGGATCTGTACGATAGCTGTTTGAAGTTTAAAGAATTGTCTTTCAAGCACAAACATTAAAATGGCACTGTTAAAAATCCCCATCGGACTTTTTTTATTCTTTTTATTCTTGATTTTTTTTTTTCATACTTAAGAAAAGGAAGGACCTCACAAGGCATCAGAAGGACTTTAGCACCCAGTTAAAGTTAATGAATCAAATACATCTGTGCTGCTGACTTTTTTGGTTTTAAATTTATTGCGATCAGAGTTTTCCTCCACCTGGCTTTTTTCTGTTAAATTAAGTTTAAACTAGAGACGCACACTATAAATTGGGCCGATAAATTATTGGCCGATAATGGGACATTTTCCTAATCATGCATTATTTTTTTCATTTTCCGTAACCGCTTATCCTGTTGAGGGTCATGGGGGAGGCAGGGTTCACCCTGGACAGGTCACCAGACTATCACAGGGCTGACACATAGAGACAGACAACCATTCACACTCACATTCACACCTACGGACTAGAGATAGACAGATATAGATTTTTTAGGGCCAATGCCGATACCGATTTTTTCCCATCACCCTTAGCCGATGACCGATTATGGACTGCCGATTTTCTTGAGCCAGTATTTGGGGCCGATACTGCTTTTGCTCCCTCAATTTACATAAAAAAAATGACACGATAACAAATATTACAGGTCTCAATAAGAAACATTTATTGAACAGTAAAAAATACTAAAATAAGATGGAAAGTTGAGGTAGAACAGGTAGAATACTATTATTATTATTATACATTCAAATAAAAAAAAGAGTTCAGTGCTCTTAAATCTTCCAGTAATGTCTTTATAAAATAAACAAATATTTAAGCTGAAGCATAAATAAAACAACAACTACTGTACACAGTAGGATTCGCTGCATGTGCGCTGCAGGGTCTTCCAGCAACACAGAGCTGCCCGTGGATGCCTGTCTGTAAATCATGCCAGGGAAAAATAAATCCGCGAACCCACGCGCGTATCGGCCAATGCCGATACAAGTAAAAAACTCAAATATCGGCCCGATATATCGGCCGGCCGATGTATCAGTCTATCCTTACTACGGACAATTTAGAGTCACCAATTAACCTGCATGTCTTTGGACTGTGGGAGGAAGCTGGAGCACCTGGAGGAAACCCACGCTGACACTGGGTTCGAACCCTCTTGCTGTCAGGCGACAATGCTAACCACTGCACCACTGTGCCGCATTTTTCCCATAATTAAAATTAAAGCCGATAAATAAAGCCAATGATACGAAGCCAGACTGCTTCTACTGACTTAACATGGGCAGCAGCTACACACCTGACACAGTGGGCGGCGGCACATGTACCTTTAAACTTGGTTTGCGAGCTGCTTATTAACACAGAGAAGAAGAAGAAGGACTGCAGCACGCTGTCTAGAGGGCCGAACATGTCGCAGTGTGGACGTCTTTCACAGTTTCACAGTTCCAGAAGAAAACAACAGGACTGCACTGAGGGTCTGATCTCTGACCGCCCCACACAAGTTAGACATTGGAGGTGTCAAACGTACGGCCCGGGGGCTCAGGCCGGCCTGCAAAAGGGTCCAATCCAGCTCACTGGATGACTTTGCACACCTGATATTAATATATCTGTGAAGGCTGAGAGGTGTCAGGTTTGAGGTTTAAACAGTGAGTCGATGCCTCAGAAGCTTTTCACCTGACCAGAATACAGCTCTCTGAAATAATGAGTATGTACGGTGTTCAGATTTAAAGATATTAAATATTAGGGGTGTATCAATCCATTGATCTGGATCAATCAACGATCCAAAGTCAGCGATGCAGAGTGAAAACATCAATCCATATCATCATCTTTAGCATAGGCTTTTATTTTGAAAGTCTGTCACTGTCAAACAGCAGCAGGCAGATGGGAAGCGTGGAAATATTCTGCATTTTGGAGAAAATAAGGATCAACAGACAGAGCACATGGCGTATGTAAACAATGACATTACAAGATAAAACACGACGTACCTGCCTGGAGGAGCGTCTCACTCTGCTAATTTCTTGCTACAGCGACATCAGAGTAAAGTAATGGAAATTATTGAAGTGACGCTGGATTAGTTACACGATATTATTATAAGTGTATTCCTATTATTCCTAATAAATTCTAATCAGTTCATTGTTGAGTCAAAGTAGATGTTTGTGCCAAATTTGAAGAAATTCCTTAAAGGTGTTCTTGAGATATCACATTCACAACGATAAGACGAAGTCAAACTGACCTTGACTTTTGACCACCAAAATCTTATCAGTTCATAACGGACTCCAAGTGAACATTTGTGCCAAATTAGAAAGAAAAAAAAAAAGTTCCTGAAAGTGTTCTTGAGGTATTGCGTTCATGAGAATGCAACGGATGGGGTCACAGTGCCCTTGAAAATTGACCACTAAAATCGAGTCAGTTCATCCTTGACTTAAAGTGAACATTTGTGCCAAATGAGAAGAAAGTCCGTGAAGGTGTTCTTGAGGTATTGCGTTCATGAGAATGAGGCGGATGCAAAGTCAAAATGACCTTGACCACTGACCACCAAAATCTTTATTAGTTCATCTATGACTCCATGTGGACGTTTGTGCCAAAAGAGGAAAAAAAAAATCCCTCAATGTGTTCGTGAGATGTCGCATTTACAAGAATGACACGGATGCATGATCAAGTGACCTTGACCTTTTACCACCAAATTCTAATCAGTTCATTCCTGACTCCAAGTGGAATTTTGTGCCAAGACAGAAAGAAAAAAAAAAATCCTCAAGGTGATCTTGAAATATCGGATTCATGAGAATGCAACAGATAGGGCCACAGTGACCTTGAACATTGACCACTAAAATCTAATATCTCGACTTTAAGTAGACATTTGTGCCAAAATAGAAAAAAAAAAAACAATTCTCTGAAGGTGTTCTTGAGATATTGCATTTAGAAGATGAGACGGATGCATGGTCAAAGTGACCTTGACCACAGACCACCAAAATCTTACCAGTTCATAACTGACTCCAAGTGGACGTTTGTGCCAAATTAGAAAAAAAAAGGTCCCTGAAAGTGTTCTTGAGGTATTGCGTTTACAAGAATAAAATGAATGCAAAGTCACAGACACCATGACCATTGACCACCAAAATCTAATCAGTTCATCACTGAGTCTAAATGGACGTTTGTGCCAAAATAGAAAAACCATTCCTTGAGGTGTTCTTGAGATATGGGGTTCACAAGACTGGGACGGAAAGATGGATGAAGAACCCAAAAACATGAAAGACATTTTACATCCTCTTTGTGAAGATATCGTTAACCCAAAAATGAATTTTTCTTTTTATGTTGGTCATATATGTGTGTGTATTGTATCATTCTGAGTTTGAATAAAAAGGTGGAGTATGTTGATTTTTGTAAACCAACAACAAACTCTGACAGTTAGTATGTAGTATATTCTGAACCCTTGCTATTTGATTATTGATATTGAGATTACTGATTAAACCACAAACAAAAATAGAAACTGTATTTTCCATCAACACAAATGACACAACCACAAAAAAGTTCTTAAAATCTTTAGTTTTACTGGAAATATAGTTGATTGAACAAATACATTTATACATTTTTTGGACATGTGCGTCCCTTCCTATGAGTAAGAAACAGCTCGGTTCTTAATTTACTCTGTAAAAAAACATCTGTCGTCACAGTTCACATGTCGAGGCATTTCTCCATGGTACCTTAATTATCAGCATCACTGCTTTACAAAACTATCATACAGTCAGAAAGGAGCAACACTCTTCCCTCAACCAAAGAAAATAAAGTGATGTTAGAAGAGTCACAACAGTTTCCAGTTTCCAAGGGAAGAACAGATATAACTTGGAAAATGATAAAAAAGAAATGCTAAATGTTCGCATTGCGTTTGTACAGCAGCGGCTCTGAAAAAATATATTTCACTTTATTTCAAATAGAAAATGGATTTTTTTTAATTACTGTCTTCTCTATAATTTATCAAGTAACAAAGGCTGGAAAATGAAAGTGAAAAGCATAACTTGTTAAAAAAGGTCACAACTCTACGTCTACACTTTGCTTTATGGAGGAATTGAAAAAAAAAGTTGCACAGCGTTTAATTATCAGACTGTTTCCTCGCTGTGAGCGCTGATGAGTACCTCAGGGTGTCTCTAAAGTGCATACAGATAGAAAAGTAAGAGTTTCTGAGTCACAACTCGTTAGTGTTAGCCAGCGGCGTCACTTTTCCTGTTGGTGTGTTGGTGTGTGTGTGTGTGTGTGTGTGTGCGTCTGACTAACCAAAGATACAAATGCAAACACTCAGATGATATTTCAACACATGGAGCCACTGTAGAAGTCTCACTCTCGGCTGCAGTTTGTCTAAATTCTGTTTTACAAAGCTCTGATCACTTTTTATCCTGAAGAATTTACAGATTATTTTTCAAGCTGAACACGACGCATCATGTGCACGTTTTTCTACTTTTGTTAGAAAAACCAAATGAGTTAAAAAAGGTGATTTGTCCATTGCAAAATTCATAATAGCAACTTTGATCATATACTTTATGCTTAACAACAGTGTGAATTTAATAAAGCTGCAGTCTGTAACTCTGGAGAAAGACTCTTTATTGTTGAGTCTCATTCACAGATGGTCAGATACCAACCACCTTGGGTTGGTAGTTGGACCCAGAGTCCTGCACCTGGTCCTGGTCGGATAACCCGTAAAAATATGTGTATAAATTCACGGATATGGACTACACATGGGTGGGAAGCAGGTAAGAACATAAATACATTTCAGACTAAAACAAATAAAAAAGCTGTGCAGTCTATGTGTAATATTTAAAAATCTAAATCTCTATTATCAAGCTGCAGTTCCTTTTATTTTGAAAGTCAGTGACACAAGTGTAACCTTTGACCCCGTGGTCTCATTGGTCACCGACGTGGAGGACTCCAGCCATGAAACTTTGCAGCCCGAGAATGAGGTGGCAGCCTACATGGAGTTCAAGACACCCAAGGAGGATCCTTTGGAGGTTTGATGGTGGTGGAAGGAGCATGCTAACATGTTTCCTAACCTGGCAGTGATTGAATGTTTTCACCATCCAGTCAAAGAGACGTCCAATTCAAGAACGGAGAACCAGCTTAATGTGAGGGACTGGAGCCTGGGGGGGTTTGACTTAGACATGACGGGTAACAGGTAGATTCTGGAACTGAGCTGGTACTGGGTGTGGGGTTTCAAAAATGGAGCCGTGCAGGACTCAAGTTGACCTAAACCACCAAACCAAAGTGTCAGTATTTGACAATCTGTGAATGAGACTCAACAATCGACTCTCTTTCTCCAAAATCACATGCTGCACCTTTAAATACAGTTATAGTTAATGTCAACACCTGTGCTGTGTCAATCACTAGTTTGGAAACCAAAATAATAGTTCACAGTAAGTTTCCTTGTAAGAAACTTTATGCAGCACTTTGCATCGAATACTTTGATGGGCTGTTAAACACCACAGGAAACAGTGATGTCACCGCTAAAATAAGACAACAAATTACTCTCTCTGTTGAGGCCACATATAAATAAAACTGACACAATATAAACAGAATCAAATGTTTTCTAAGCCCTCGGCTGTTTGAGCAAGGCCTCAGACCAGGAGATTTTTTATGTGCAACATTATTAACTCCTGTCAGCTTCCTGAAGCTGGTTGATTAGATGCATGTGACAGTTAACGCTACGCTTCCTGACTGTTCCCTCGCTGTGATCACAGTTACTCTTTTCAATCGTACAGGAGAGAGAGCTGATCATAAGAGATACATACAGTGAGTCAGATTTCTACAGTGGCGGCCATTTTGTGTTCCGTCGGAGTTAAAATAATCTAAAGAGACTGAAGGCTCCAGTGAAAACCAGCTGGTTGCTCACTAACGTCTTCTTCTTTGTGTTTTTCTCAGAAAGTAAAAGTCCCTTCATCCACACCAGTGGAGCTTTTATTTTTTTAAATTATGCTACAAAAATCTAATGCACTTCATGCTTTATCAAAGCAAAAACTTTTGGGCGTCAGAAGAGAAACTTTGAGGATTATCTGAACTGAAGGAACTCTCACACTGTTTGACTGAAACCTGCAAAGATGCTTGAAATGTTTCAACGACAAAGTGTCCAGTTAGTTAGTCACACTGAAGCATAGATTTTAGGACGTGTTAATATGTGCACATTACGTCTAACCACGTTGCTCTGGTCCCTGCCACATGGAAGGATCTTATCTTTCATGCTTGTTAAAGTAAAGTCTCCCATTTCAATGTCTCCCTGCAGCAAATACAGACGCTGCCTTATTATTATTGTTCTAATTTAGAGACAGATTTACAGCAAAAGCTTCAATTTTGGAACTTTTTCATGCTTCTGTCGCCTGATCCTTTAAATTTCAATTCACCTGCATACGAATGTTTTTATGAATATCTTCTAAACTTGCAGTCATGTTGTTCGTGTTGGCCAACATGTGGTGTAACTGTTAAGTTTTGCACACTGTAATATGAAGTTACATTCTGTACTGCACACGCCTGATTCAAACTCATGCAACATTCAGCTCTATAGTGCTTTCACACCTGTGGTTCAGTTCATTTGGTCGCACCGGAGGGAGAAAATGATCCATTGCTGCATTTTAGTTTTGGTTCGGTTCATGTTCACACCGACTTTTTACAAACGAATGAAGTTCTACTGACTGACAGGTGACTGGTTGATTGGACAGTTTTGGTATTTGTCACCCTGCATCATCAGGACCCACGCGAGGAAATCAAACAGACGTTCATGCAGCAGAACTTGATAATGAATGATTCCAAAGTGTTTATATTTCTGTTCTTCAATTTCACAAAGAGCTCACAGAGAAATAACTGACTGTAAGCATGATTAGGAGGCTGTTATTAGACTGCAAATCAACTGCATGTTCTGAATAATGACGAACAGAGACGGGATGAAAAGACGAAATGATTCGGGGCTTCATACTGTGGGATCACTGTCACGCGCTTTTACATACACAAAGTAAACTGAGTAGGATACAATGATGGCAGTTTGAACAGCTTTTTAATCAGGGAAAATACCCTGTTACCATGGTTACATGTATGCATTAACATAAATAGTTTATGGGATATACGTGGCCTTTATCAGGATCAGTTATGAGATGGTGGACAGATTTCAGGATCAGCAAATGGCTGCTAAAATCCCACATCTGCTATCTGCAAACAAAACGCACCAGAGTCCGTTTGGAAGCGGACTGAGACCCACTTTTTTGAGCAGTGTCGGTTCAGTTGTTCGGTCTACACCAGGGTTCAACTGACAGCTTTCAGACTTGCCCACACGAACCACACGAACAAATGGACCTGAGTTCGTTTTTATCAAGTGTGAAAGTACTCTAAGATCAACGCACAGGGCTGTTAGATAGATCAATAGATCTAATTCTGCTAAAGCGGGGAGAGCTCTGGGTCGCTGCCACTATGCACGCCGCCATCTTGTTTTTCAGCTGTTAGCATTCAAACGATTACAGACACATAACTTTTTATTACATGGGTGCAAAATGTCCTCCAACAATTACTATATTAGCTCCACACATCAGCCTCATCATGTGACAGTAAACAGCTGTGTGTGGCTTGATGCTCTTTGCTATGTTGTTACTGGACGTGTGTCGTCTGTGCTTGTGTCTCTACATGCTAATTTGCATGTGTGCAATATTCTGTATGTGCACAAGGGTTAAATTATTATACTGGTCAAAACTGGATTTTTTATTAAAAATCAAACTAGTCAGTTTTGTTTCATGTAAATATGATGGAACTTTTTTTGCACATTTAATTTTTGATTTTAGTCCATTATGACTCAGTGTAAACTGAGTTCTCCTGATGAATAAAATGTTTCAGTGTCCCGTAGTTATTGAGATGCTTGTTCACTGGTAGTTTGAGGGAATAATGTCTGTTTACTGTTTATCACTTAGACCCACGATCACCTGTATCAAAACACTGGATCAAACTCTTGTGTGTTCTGAGTTAGGAGTGTGTGTGTGTCCGTGTGTGTGTGCGCGCGTGAGTGCCTGGCGGGTTAGAGGCGAGTGTCATGGATGTCATCCTCAGCTTCCTCCGGCAGAGACGAGATCTTGGCGGCCTGCGGCGGTGCCCTCTTGCTGGAGTTGAGGCGGTGAAGCGTGGGGAAGAGGTGGAGCCTGTCGGCGGGGCTCATGGCCTGTTTCAGGTGACTCCTCTCATTCAGCAGCTTCTGGATGGAGTCGTAGCTCTTCATGGAGCTGCCCTCAATCATCTGCACAGACGGGAGGCAGGAGACGTAGGTTATGTCTGGGTTTCTAAACCTCCGTTTTCTTGATAAAATATGTTTGTAAGATTTTTTTTTTAAAAGCTGACTGGTGGAGAACTCATTTTGTTAAAAAAAAAAAAAAAAAGATTTTCCAGGCTTCATATAACAACTTCATAAATAAACATTAAACACACTGCGTCCTGGTCCAAGTGCCTTACAAATTATACACTAGAAGACTTCAAAAAAGACTAAATTCTGACAACTAAAGACAACGTGATTTTTAAGTCACACACTCTGAGGCTTTGCAAAGACTGGAGATCTTGCAGGGTCACTATTTACAGACTACAGCTAGATTCATTTTGAGATTATTTCCCACCCTGCTCCTGGTGGAAAATATTACACCAAACTCCCTTTAAGAAATATGACATTTAAACAATTCTTTACTTGTCTGCAAAAACACCTAACTCTAGAAACACAAGAAAAAAGGTGTCATATGTCGACAGTATGCTTGTCAGTTCTTCATCAATATAATCCATGAAAATAAAATGTATTGATACAAACTTAACATTTGGGATTTTGTCGCCTTGATTCCCAACCAGCCTGTTGGTTAGCTATGTTATCTTAGTGGGAGGAGACTGTGGGAATGAGACGAGAGCTGTTTCAAAAATTAAGATATCTCACTAAAATAAGAGCTGGTTGTTGGATCAGACACAAATTAAACACAGACTCTTGTTCACTCCACAACTCCACCAGCTTCTCCTCCTTTTCCAGAACTAAGACTTGTTCACATTCTTGAACCTCCCCAGACTCCCCTCCATGTTTACTGTCAACCCGATTAACTGCTTCCTGTTTGGTGCTGGACGGAGCGCAGCTATTGGTTGTTGGTTGTTCACATCATTAAACTTCACTATTTGCATGAGCCAGAACTAAAAACTTACGGTAATGCAAAACATGTTTGATTTTATCTGAACGTCAAGATGAGATTAAGCTCGGACTCCTTTTTCTGACCTCCTTACAACAAACCATCGAGGTCATGGGAATGTGCAACGACTGAGGTAAAACTCTCGTGATTTTATGACGACATTAAAAATTTGTCTGCAACAGTGAAACTGCTTAAAAAGTAGTTTGTTGAAAAATGAAAATGAAACAGCAGAACTTTCTGCTGAATGTTAAAAGTCGTTTGGGAAAGAAAGACAGCTGGAAATTCAAAGTCTGGCTTTTTTTTTTGACAGTTAAGAGTGATGGGAAACACATGCAAACACAGAGGGGTAAACTAGTGGTTCTGTCTGTCTGTCTATCTAATGTTCTTAGTCCAAATGACTGCTCCTCACTGTGTAGAGACATTGAGTTCACCTCCCTCATGTTTCCGTCACGCCAGCTGCTTGTTCCAACACAAACCTCCAACACTAACATGCCAACAAACACACCTTTGCAGACCCGCACACCCACATCCCACTAAAGGTAATGGAATTTTATATCTTATCACTTCATAACAGGCCGAGGGATAGTTTGGATCTTTTTTCCAAACTGGGGTCATGTCGGCCAACATCTTCTAAAGGTGATAAATACACTGACTGTGGATAAGAACCACATATAACCTCGCTTCAAAAGATCTGAACTATCCCTTTAAATTAAGTTTCGTAAGCTTCTATAAACACCTGAGCATTAAATGTTGATGAAACTGTCTCAGCACAAACTGTTCGACTTTGACAGAGACCTAAATATAACAAAAAAAACACCTTACCAGGAATGACTGACACTCGAGCAGCGGCTCCACTCTGTGTTCTGATAGGATGACAGTGCAGCCAGAGAACGCCTGCTTCAGCGTCTTCCTCAGGACCTGTAACGTTCTGCTCACACACAAACACAAACACACACACCCTCATCATCATCATCATCATCATCTTTAAAGGCTGCTAACACACATTAGCTTAGCGTTTTGTTCCCACTGAGGCCGACATGAAAGAACAGGCGGCGTTGGCCTCAGGTTAAACTTGATTGCTCATTATAGGCTTCATTTACCATTATAACCCCCCACACACACACATATGGTGACACACACACACACACACACACACACACACAGTCACATACAGTAGGTCAGATTTCTGTAAGCACTCTAGATTGTCACCATATGCAGTGACAGGAACACCACACATGTTGGATTTGGGTGACCTCCGCTCCCATTAACACACACACACACACACACACACACACACACACACACACACACACACACACACACACACAGCTGCGTTCAAGTGCACATTCAGAGGGAGCTTTCCTCTCAGAGAAATATTTATTAAAGCTTCTAAAGTGTCGACAAAAGTAAAAAAGACAAATATCAAAGAGAGTGCAGGAACACAGGCCGACAGGATGACATCACAGTGTGTTTAAAGTTCACCGCCCTCAGCGTGCCCTGAATCTGATGCTGCTGGTGACATGAAATAGATCTACAGTTTCTACAGAGGCCTCGTCTATCTGAGTCTGTCTGCAGGTTTACTTGTCAAGGTCTATACACTCTCAAACATTTAAACGCCGTTACACTTGAAGTCATATCTTAATGTTGGTAAATAAATAGTAAATGAAAATGTGTGAAAGTGTTAAACTAAGACTCAAAGATCAAAGCTGTTCAGTGGCAGAGGGACATTTTCTATTCATTGTATAGTGGTGGAGGACGTACTCTGATCCTTTTACTTCAGTGGTTTTATTTTTTTAGTTATTCAATATCTTGCACGGCAGCGTCATGCAGTGCTTCTCAATCTGTTTTCAAAAATAAAACTCCTTTCAGGTATTTTTTTCATTGACTACAAAAACCTCCTCGTCACCTTCAAAGCCCTCCACGACCCGCCCCCACCTATCTTTCTGACCTCCAGGAGTACACTCCCTCCCGCTATCTGCGCTCTTCCTCTGCTGGTCTCCTTACCGTCCTCACCTCACGCCTCAGCACCATGGGTGCCAGGGCTTTCAGCTGCACTGCCCCCAGCCTCTCAAACTCCCTACCCCCACACATCTGACAGTCTGATGGAGTAACATCCTTCGAATCCCTTCCCCTGATTTTATCACAGCAACATTATGTGTGTGCCCAATTCACGTCTCTTGTTTTGTATGTTATTTTGTGCTCTGTGAGGTGAACTTGGGTGTTTTGAAAGGCGCCTTTTGAATAAAATGTAAATGTTTTATTATTTTGTGTGGCACAAGAATTTCCTTGGCGATAAACAAAGTTCTATTGAATTGAATAAAAGTTTAAAGTAGTATAAAATAATGAAGTACAAGTACCTCCAAACTACTTTAGTGCGGTACTTGAGTTCAGGTTTTTTCTTATGCTGTATCACAAATTGTTAAGAATAAACTCTTAACTCAAAATAAAGATTCAAAACTGCATTACATTGAAAGGTGCACACACACACACACACACACACACACACACACACACACAGATTAGAGTGTTGGGGTGTAATACTGACATGGGATCGAGGTAGGCGGAGGGTTCGTCCAGCAGCAGGATGCGGGCCTTGCTGAGGATGGAGCGGGCGAGACACAGCAGCTGTTTGTGTCCGTTGCACAACACGTTGCCTCCGTCCTCCAGCTGAAAGTCCAGCTTGTCTGGAAACTGCTCGATCACTGACTTCAAACCCACCTGACGACACACGCGACACATTTTTCATTTAACCAAGCATTCAACCAAAATGACTACAGGTGATAATCCTGATAACCAAAACTATGACACAGAATTAGACAGAGTTATAAGCTCAGCAGGGGAAAAGAGAAATCAGAGCCTCACCTCCTCAGCGACCCTCCACAGCTCTTCGTCACTGTAACGTCCATGAGGGTCCAGGTTCATCCGGAAGGTGCCGGTCAGAATAAAGACTCTCTGTTCAAAACAAAAAACAAAGCAAAATGGTCGGCATTCAAAATGTTATACTAAACTGCAGGAACATTGGGTAGTGGTGCTATAAAAAAAAACATCTGAATTTTACAACTTTCAGTTTTACTACAATGTACTCTTTATATGACACTAAACTGTTTCACACGTAACTCTCTAAAGGTGAATTCTGCACAATTGCCAGTTTTGAGTTGAGTTGCTCAACAGTATCTGAATTCCAACCAGCAGCCTTTGAATGCCACGTGTCTTGTTGAAAAGCAGTAGACGTACCTGCGGCACCACCCCGAAGGCCTTCCTCCATGTCTGCAGGGACACGGAGTTCCAGGAGACGCCGTCGATGGAGATTTCTCCGTCAGTGGAGGCGAGACGCAGCAAAGCGGAGAGCAGGGTGCTCTTCCCTGAACCGGTTCGACCCAGCAGACCCACCTACACACACACACACACACACACACACACACACACACACACACGCACAGAGAACAGAAACATTTAATCTGATAAATATTTAAACTCATTTCTCGCTTTTCGGTTCATTAAAAGGTTTAATGAAGTCATTTAGCATTCTCAGTTAGACAGATTCATGCACACAAGGACACCAGATACAAACCTCACTATGGTGCATATGTAGTTCTGTATCTTGTGTCCTTGTACAAAGCGTACCTATAGAACACTGTATACAGTACATGCACACACACTGTGTACAGTATGCTGTACATATGGATATGAGTGGAGTAATGACTAATGACACTGTGAAATGAATCGCTGCCTTGAGGTGTCTCCGGGTCTAAAAGCTCTCCGTCCTTTCTTCTGCAGCCTCGCGGCAACAATTAGCCCATTTATCAGAAGGCCATAGAGCAGCTAATGGGACGAGGCTAAAGTGCTGACACTTACTGAGCTCAGCTGTCCTCCAGGATTCATTATAAGGAGCTCAAACTGACTATAATTACTGCCAGGAGCAGAGAGAGACACAGAGAACGGTCAAATATTACTTTTTTCTCTATTTTCCACTGAAAGCTATTTGGTCAACGCTGACTTCCTCCTCCACCCTAATTAAATACCATAAGGTATTCAGATAGGAGGGATGAATTACAGATATGAGTGTGTTCATGAGAGAAAGAAGTAGAAGAACTTAAGCATTTGTCACCGATGTTATTGCTGCTGTTTGTGCTGTCCTCAGTTATTCCATTTTATTTTGATCATTTTATCATCTTTTTTTCATAATTTGGACAGTTCCCTCAGGGTCATGTACATTTGTCTGTATTTGTTTGTACAGTACTTTGGCCCCAGAGAGGATCGACATTACTGGCATGTACGTATATCTGTGGGTGGGTTGCTGTGTTGGGATTTGGTATGTTGTGGTTGAGTGTCACCTTCTTGTTGTGTAGTGGAAGTTCTGATAGAACATCGGGGGACCATGATGGAAATAAGTCCTGGACTTTGTGTCATCCTTGACAATATGCCTGTGTTTTTTATTTCGTTTTTTACCGCTATATTTCAATTTTTCTCAAATAAACTAATCTTAAGATATTTCAGTCAGGACCACTTTAGCCAAAGAAAATTTCACTTCCATTTGCAGTATTAAATTTGCCCTTCCATGCGCCTACGTGGAAAGCCTGAGGCAAAGAGAGCAAACCTCCCTGCCCTTCCATGCGCCTACGTGGAAAGCCTAAGGTAGAGAGAGCACACCTCTCTGCCCTTCCATGCGCCCAGCAGAAAGCCTGAGGCAAAGAGAGCAAACCTCCCTGCCCTTCCATGTGCCTACATGGAAAGCCTTAAGGCTATAAAATATTAGAAAATGGTGAGAATTATCAATTAGTGTTTCCTTGAGCCCAAGATCACGTCCTCAAATGTCTTGTTTTTCCACAACCCAAATATATTCAATTTACTGTCATAGAGGAGGAAAGAAACCAGAAAATATTCACATGTAAGAGCTGGATTTAGAGAATATTGAGGTGTTTTTTTTAATTGCTCCAACTGATTAATCCATTATCAAATAAGTTGGCAATTAAGTTAATAGTTGATAACTCATTAATTCATCGTTGCAGCTCTATGAGCTAGTTGCTAACTTTTGGTGCTCACAGTGGATTCATTAGGCCTGGGTTAAGATAATTGATTCATCCGATTCAAATCGATCTGCATTTCAGTGACCAGATATCAATTCATAAAATCCAAGATCGATTTTTTTTTTTTTTAAAGATTATTTTTTAGGCTTTTTGCCTTTAATTGACAGGACAGTGTGAAATGGGGGGAGAGAAAGAGAGAGTGGGGGGATGACATGCAGCAAAGGGTTGCAAGCCGGAATCAAAACTGCGACCGCTGCAGCGAGGCATCGCCTCTGTACATGGGGCGCCGGCACTATCCACTACGCTACCAACGCCCCCAAGATCGATTTTTTAATATGTGCTTTTTCGCACAGATGTGTGGAGCTTTAACCCCGTTAATCTTGTGTAGTAAATGGGCTGCGTCGCTAAATTATCAACAACTGTAGTATTGAGAAGCTCCGAAGTTACCGGCTCTTTTATCTGTGGCTGTTATGTTTTGGTGTCAGTTATTATTGTGCAGCAGCCTCTCCTCCTGCTGGCTGTGTGTCAGGGCTGCTGCGCCACTTTGATGCACACACAAACACGTAGCAGAGATGCCGCAATGGAGACAGAGAAGTGACGACAGCTGCGCTTGTTAATTAACTAATTCATGCCGGAGAGAAGAGAAAATGAAGAGGATGCTGAAAGACTTTTTTAATGGCTATTGTTTCTCCGCTAGTTGCTCTCATGGAGGAGCAGGTCAGGGAAGCGACCAAGCTGGGAATCACAGCCATGCAACTCGGAGTCCACAGTGAGGAGGAAATCCGTAAAGCCGGCAACACTCCACACAGCTCATCTCCGCTGCACACTGCACTTGCTTGCTGGTCTGTTTACAGTGGCGTTGTGCTAGCCTACGCCACACATTTCGTTTACTCTGATTGGTTTTCTGTCTTCCTAATTGTGTGATGGGGCACTTTGAGTCCTTTACATTTTGATGATACTGATGATGACAGTCATCATCAGTATCATCATCATCTAAGGTTTCTCTTTCATGCAGTGGTGTTCAGTGCTTCAGTGGTGTTTTTCTAAAAATGTCTTCAACTGAAAAGTTAATGATAATTGTATATACACACATACAATGTAATGTATACAATATAATGTCGACTTTTTGTTGCAATAAAAAAAAATCGATTACACTGTTGGTGCTTCTTACATTACGATGGGTGCTCCCAAAATTTTCCTGGTGCTCCTAACTTTTTGAAGTTAGGAGCACCAGTGCTACCATATAAAAAAGTTCATTTCAAGCCCTGAATAACAAGTAGTAAACATGTGACCACATGTGACGCAGCGTCCTGCTGGCTGGTATGTCTCCTTGCTGTGACCTTGCTGTGACTCTTTAATTGCAGTGGCCCCTCTCAGACTAATCAGTGCTTTGATGTTTTACAATCCAATAAGACCCAGCGAACATGCATCACTCTGCCAAGTTTCATTAAAGTCCCGTCACACACACTCGTCACCCATCACTCAGGAGACTTACGCTCTGCCCTCCATCCACAGAGAAGGAGATGTCGCTGAGGACGGAGCGACCAGCCTCCGTGTATTTGACAGTGAGACCCCGGACGTCCATCTGGCCACGGTTGGGCCAGCAGTCCTTGGCGTGCGGGTTGTCGATGATGAGGTCGGAGCCTCCTTTACCAGATTTCCCTGGCAGTGGCTCCTCTGGTGGCATGTCAATGAACTTGAACACCCGATCCACCGAACGCATCTGAGAGGCAGAGAAAGAAGGAGCGTGAGGAGAGCTGCTGGATGTGTAAATACAGTTTATCTATGTTCTTTGTTGAGTTGTTAAGGCAGACATTTCCAAAACATTTTCTAAGCCTGTCTGGTAACGAGCCACAATATGGCTCCTATATATTTTCCTGTATTTCCTATTTATTTTCTAACCATAGTCCACCACTGCTCCTGGTGTTCACTGGTAGAATCAATCACAATTCAATTATTGTGATTAAGAAATGTAAATATATTCAAATATTTTTTGTTTTTGTTTTCTAATAAATTAAGCTGAAGAAACCATTTCAAAACTATTGGAATTTCTAAAATATACATCCATATAAAACTGACACAGGACTGTTTCTTGTTTGCTTATCACCAAAGTTGATATATTGGTGATTTTCTTACTCAAGCAATGTTTCAGGAACAGCAAACTAAACGTACTTGAGCTTGACAAAGATATTTCAGTAGATACACACCTCAGCGAGGATGTTAATCAGAGGGAGTTACTGTAATGAGACTTTTTCTTACATTACATTATCAGTCAAGCTGTGAAGAACACTGCCAGCTCCCCCAAACACCCCAGCACCATCGTGTGAGGGTGTTGGTGCGTGTACTGAACAAAACGTCCTGTGCTGTGATAAGCTCTGTCAGCTCCACTAACCTAAACGTGAGGAGAAAACCGCCGCTGGACGGCAACAAACTGGTTCAAAGGTGTCTCACATGGTCTTTATAAATAACACTAACTGCTGAGGTCAGACTGTTCTTCCTCTGAACAAGGAGCAGTCAGGTCACATCAAATGTTGTTACACAGAGGAAAGGATTGTCCCTCCAAACCTTTGTGTCTTCTGTGGTTTCAGATCTGTTGCAGACCGCCCACAAATGTAAGAGACAACGACCCTGAAACTCAGAGCTCACGTGTGACCTCAAAGACTCTGTAAGGGTTCACACCCACACAGACTCCGCACCAGTCTGTTAGAACTGAAGAAGCTTCGTGTATGAGAAGTGAAACGTCTCAAGCAAGTCCAACTGCCTATGATTTAGCTCTTAAGATCACCTGCTCCTACATATTTCTACTTTACTCTGCACTTGAAATATTTAGCTCACTTTTTAATTCAGTGTATTTGGTTAAATGACGCTTCTTTTGTTAAACTATATCAAAGTGTGTTGTTGTAGCCATGTGAGCCAGGCTGTAACAGTGCTTTTAGGGAATGAGACATGGTCAGTAGGAATTGGCATGAGCACTCTAGTACTCGTTTGGACGTCAGTGTTCACTCAGCATATAAGCCCTGTTTCCACCGAGCAATGCAGTCCAGTTCAGTTCAGCTTATTTTATGTTCCCGCAGTGAAAGTTGTGGATGGTACCAACAGAAGCGTTCCTTAGCGTCCCCATGTTTGGTCCCCCCTCTGTTGGGGTACCTAGCACACAGATCTGGTACTAAAAGGTGGAGCTAGAAACCCTGCAGTGTGATTAGTCAGTAGAGGACGGTCACTCTGGTTTTATGTAACCTCTGTTCATACATCAGTAAACTACAACTATAAAATGAAAGAGAAAAAAATAACTTCATTCACTGGGCCGACTGCCGGCAACTTTTAAGGTGGAACGTTAACTTGTAATGTTACTCAATGCATGAGTTGATGACGTGAATCCATCAGCACACCTTAAATTTCACTGTGACAACTTTGACCATCACTTTAGTTTTTATATGACACACACTTTTAGTAATGACTTTAAAAATATAGATTAATTTGGAGCGGATTATGTGAAGGTCATATATTCTAATCCTCACTTCCTGTGGGCTACAGCAACACTAAACCCCTGAGCTTGCCTGAGAAGGACTAAATGCACAAAGCTGCTATTTTTAAATATCCCATGGAGAGAGACTCTCACTGCAGCCTGTTCTATTTTGTTGTGAAAATGTGGGCGTGCAGCCTCGTTCTGTGGACGATAAACCAGGTGCAGACTTCCATCTGTGTCACCGCTGATGAGGAAATACAGCGAGTGCTGGACGGAGCAGTGAGTGACAACAACCCCGCCCACATTTAAGAGGACTGTCTGAACAGACCGAGGGTCTAGGTACCATGTCTGAAGGGTTACTGCTGGTTCCAAAGGTGCTGGACTGAAAGGGTTTGATGGAAATGAGACTATAGAGTACCTGCCGCCACCCCTCCCACATGTGAACATGGTAAAATCTTATTTTATTGCAGAGCTGTGTGCAGTTTACTGCTTCGCTCAGCGCCTCCTCGTCCCGCTGTTGTTCTCTCTTTCTGTTTATCATGAGGTTACTACTGTGGTAACGTGACCTCTGTGTCTAACCTACGTAACGTTAACAGCAGCAACAGGAAGATGGCGGATTTTTCTTGTTAACTTTCAACTGGTTTAACAGACAAACTGAAGCCTGGTTGTTCAGTAAATGAATTTCAAATTACTTGTGTTCCACTGTCAATGGCATTTACTATGCCATATATAAAATATATATATATAATTTTTTTGCAAGTACTCGAGAACTCTATAACCATCTACTGCGGGTACTCAAATATGTAATTTAATTAATATGCCCATCCCTAATGCTAAGAGCTTGCAAGGGCTGTTGAGATGTAGTCAATAAAGGTGGGTTTTCAGTCTGCAGCGAAGGATGAAGTGATGAAGTGACTCATTCTGCCACTTTAGGGTCAGAACTGAGGAGAGCTTGAACCAGGATGAGTGACCACAGGATCCTCAGGTTTGTGCGTGCATGCACACTTCAACAGGAAGTTGGTGTGATAAAGGGTGAAGCAGCGCGGTGAGGGAAAACTTTCGGGAGGTTGAACAACAGATGGGAAGAAACAAAAACGAACCCGTTCAGCAAAACTTCTTTAGTGTGTGTTCAGGTAACGCTTGACACACTCTTGACTGGCCATTGGTTGTGTGGTATTTCAATGCAAGTCAGGTCTTAGTATGATACAAACGATGGGCGGTGTGTGTGTGTGTGTGTGTTTGTGAACCACATACCAGTCCATCCACAGTGATGCTGGTGATGACAGCCCATTGGAAGGTCCCCAGAATAAGCATGGCCAGGGCCACGATGATGCCAATCTCCCCTGGTTTGTCCTCTGTGGAGTGCACACACACACACACACACACACACACACAGTCATCAAAATCATCCAATCAAAGCTGCCCTCTCTGATGTCAGGGTAGGCACTCAGGTACTTTGGCTCTTGCTCTATTGGAAATAATGAGCTGTGAAATGACCCTTTAATCTGCTCTCAACATAAACACAGGCTATGACGCAACAACACGTGTTTGCATGTGTGTGTGCACTTGTGTTTCCCATTCATTTAATTGAACATAAACAAGTGCTTCCTTTTGTACATGAAATTTTATCCGTCGGCATTCCGACACTTTTGATCAGTTTTCACAGACCATCTGTTTGTTATGATCCTGATATCTGAGTCTGCACACTGTGGCACACAGATAAGACCGAGGCTTCTTCACTCGATAGGCCTGGTGGAAATAATAAGGTGTTAACTAACCCGCTAACTTACTGGAATTTCAAGATGTTCCCTCCTCCTTCTGATATTTATGTGTACAACCTGCTGCTGTTTGTCTCCTAGGATAGTTTGGATTTTTTGAGGTGGGCTTATATGAGGTACTTATCTACGGTCAGTCTGTGCATTTACATAAAATCAGACATTTATTGTGTCAGTCCGACTAAAACCGGACTTTTAAAATCCATGTTAACATGTTGGTCCGACTTTAAGAATTTCAATTTAGTACGATTTCAGTCAGACTAACACACCCAGATAATGTGATTAAAAGTTGAATTCCTCCTGCATGTATACAGTTAATCAGCCCAAACTGGCCGAGGCGCTCTGAGCATGCTCCACAGTTTCCGCCCCGGGCTTTGACCCGGAAGTCCAATAGCATTAAATGTGTCAGAGAAGAGGAAGCCGGTAACAACATGGAGAAATCTACATCCAGAGCCGTGACTTTTTGGACGGACCAAATGTACAGAGCTGTAAAGTTGTCCACCATGGTACCAGTTAGCAGCTAGCTAACCGTAGCTAACTTGTTTGTCCATTGTTTGGTCTGTGACGTAATAGGTCAACAGGAAAAAGGTCCAATACTAACAAGCTGAAAGGGGGCATATCTCCACCTATCGTAGAGGAGTCGCACATACTTGAATGGATGGATTCCCCTCCCGTGCTTGTGTACTGGGACAAGGACAGTAGTCCAAAAAAATGGCCTGTAACTGCAGCAAGGTGAGAGGTTAAACCACTGGAGGTCAGCAAAGACAAGACTGTACCCTAACTGGATCTTATCAGCCTGTGAAATGCCTGTTACCTGTGGTAATAACTCTCATAGATATGGGTCACTAGGGGCCTGCTACACCTATTGGTAGGTTCAGAAGGCTGTTATCAGCACATTCAATAGCCATTGCCAGTTTGTCAGGTTTCACTTTCCCAAGGTCTAGGTACCAAATGACATGGTTAGGTCTGGAAAAATTTCATGGTTGGGCATTCGTATTGGTTTCACATGGAACTCAAACCTCAGTCTCCTAGATTAAAGTTGCAGGAGTCATAAGCCTTCTCCCAGTCCACAAAGCACATGTAGACTGCATATGCAAACTCCCACAACTCTTTGTGCTCTTTAATGGGAAAGCCCCTTCTGGCAGAAAGTTTAATTTCATGGCCATATAACAGCCTTCTCAACCTAACAGACAGTGTGGTGGGCATCTACTAACCTATATCTATGATGCATTACACCGCTGAGAATGGCCATCTGAAAACAGGCAAGTCAAATTTAGGGGTTATTGAGTCTTTAAAGGAAGGATTATGAAATCCATTATAGGCTGAGAAAAGTCCTCAATTCCTCAGACTTCCTTCAAAACTTATTGTGTAAACCAAAAAAATACAGTGGTCAGGGTGTTAAACAAGTCTGTTTATCCCTTCCTGAAATCTATCCTTGATCTGTACAAGCAACCCTTCATCTCGTCACTCACGGTTGGTTCCCACGGCGATGAAGGCAGCGGCGGTGAAGAACAGGACGAAGATCATGTCACAGCGGAAGAGGAACCAACGCAGCGTGCACAAGTAGTGGAACCAGGCGGCTGTGTGAGTATTGAGCGCTTTATGGAAGAGCATCTCGAAGTAGGTCTGACGCCCAAATGCCCGAATCGTCCACAAACCCTTCAATGAAATGATGAGGTGGGAGAAGATGGGGCTGCGAGCTGCAGGAGAAGAGAAGAGGAGACAACTGGTTTTAACTACATACAGTTTAAAAGTTTATTGTTTTGTAAGCTGCTTATCACACATTCACTCAGTTGGTCTGATCAATAAAGCAACTGGAGTGAAGTGAGGAATGAGTGAGTAAAACTGGCTCGGATTAAAGCTAATAGAGAGAGGGCTGGAATTAAGCAGATTTCAATCTGATGCGACTGCAGGCTAACCAGTGTCAGACGGAAACAAAGGACAGTAAACCAAACAAATAGAAAATGTCACCACCTGTCGTGAACACTAGATGTGTTCACTAGATCCTACTGACGCAAGGATCAATCTTAAAAATCACAATGTAGTATCGAGAGTATATTATTTTGGCATCGATCCGCCCACCACTAATCCTGGTACATGTAGGCAATGCCTACAAGAGAACTCGGCTTTCTGGGTCAATATAGCACACACTGAGGAAATATTGCTTCAACTGATGACATTTACCATCAGCACTGATCAGACATCCACATAAGAAAGTGTTCAATGGCGAGAAGAAGTTGCTTTTGAAGAAACATAAAAATCAGCGTAGGGCTCAGTGAGCAGAGAAGATGACTATAAACTGTCAGGGTAGAAAACCGACTCCCACTGGAGCCAAATAAACCTCTGAGTGACTAACACACATAACATTTCCACAGTGTCTTGTCTGACATGCTACACGAGAGCGACACCAGGATGGGGTTGGAGGAAATCCCAGCTCGGCTCATCTCTCTGACCCCGACGTGCTCTCAGCGGCTCCGGAAAAGACCTCGCCGTCATCACCGAAACGAACATTCACTGACAGAATCGAGAGCAGAGCGGGGAAGTCCAAAACACACACAGTCCGGTGACCTGTTTTTTTATCCTCTGGCTGTACAGAGCTGCACTGCCCTGCTGGCTGCCAAACCTCTTAACTTTTAGATCATTGTTCTGTGCTCTGATCTATGTCATCGTTTTTTAGTATGTATATATACAGTATTGTAAATCTTTATATTACGTAGTTATTGCAGTTATGTACTGAGGTCTCACTCACAGGAACAAGAATGAAGAACAGTTTTCATTGGGTATTCTTTCATCTAAAATTAACAGTCGCCATGTAAACTGTTGACATCGTGCTCTCTGGGTTATTCAAAGTGACAGAGACTGTTTCTAGAAACAAAGTTGTTGTTATTGATTTAATATAATTTGTAAAGGCACTACAAATACGATAAATGAGTTTCCATCTGTCCATTTTAAAGGGTTTGAGGCAGAGATGAATATCTCCAAATCTTAACCAATAAAATCCGACTACTCTACCTGCTTGGTTGATTACTACCAAAGGTTAGTCAGAAAATGTGCTTTCCTCACTGCTGACATCTTTTTGGGGGTGAATTATGGAAGGATAACACATTCACTTGAAAAAAAAACTGCTGCTTGGTATTAGGAATTAACAAAAGCAGATGTTGTTAACATACTGTAGAAACTACTCGTAATTCAGAGACGATAACTTGGTTAATTCAGAACTAGAATTCCGCCCCGCAGTTGTATGCCTCTGCGCACCAGTCAAGGTCATGCTGACCTCTGACCACAAAATTCTAATCAATTTATTCTTCAGTCCAAATGGACGTTTGTGTCAAAGTTAAAGAAATTCCCTTGAGGTGTTCTTGAGATATCGCTTTCACAAGAATTAGAAAGAATGACAAAGATTCAAGGTCACACTGACCTTGACCTTTGACCACCAAAAACTAATCAGTTCATCATTGAATACAAGTGGACATTTGTGCCAAATTTGAAGAAATTCTCTTGGGAAGTTCTTGAGATATCGTGATCACAAGGATGGGACGGTACACCTACAGGCAACCCCAAAGCGTAATGCCTTCGGCCACGAAAAATGGTCAATGCAGCTTCCACGTCACCTTTGTCATTATTTCCAAAACATCACTAAACTTAGCTTTTCAGCAACACACCAATTATGACAAGACTCTCACTTTGGGAGAAGGTCTAGTAGTTATAGAGACTGTCCTGCAAACGTACACCCACATGCATAAACAACTGTCTTATGTGTAAAAGCTTTTAGCAATGTGTTCATTCTTTTCACATGGAGACCAACTTCTGTTATAACTGGAGGATAACGGTTATTTTATTCATCCTGCCTCACTTCCTTTCACTGTTCCTGCCCCTCGGAGGCAGCCCTTCCATCCTCTCCTTTAACCCTTCCTCTGTCGTGTTTTTGTTCTTCAGCCCACCAGCTCTGCTGCCAGTTATGATGACTGTTGCGTCCAACTCCCCGAGTCTCACTTCCTCTGTTGGCTCTATTGGTTTTCCTGTCATGTTCTCACTTTTACTCTTCCCTAATATTTGCCATTTCATCACTGCGTTCTTGTCGATCTCTTCTCTGCCTGTTTTTATCCTTCCTAACTCTCACTCTCATGATGATGTCAAATCAAAGAGAAATACAAACCTTTGTATCTTCAGGGGTAAATTCTCTCAGAGGTAAGCATTCAAAACGCATTTTTAAGCAACAGAAGCAGATGACCTAATCCATGTTTGGAAATTAAGAAAACACTTGCTACATTTAATTAAATGTTTTAATCCAGCCAGTTTTTAAATTCTATTTCAATTCACTTTGTGCAAATGAATATTTTTCTTTAGTATAAGAAGGTCAGTCTCCTTCCTCTACTCTTCGCCTGATGTGTCCTTCTTGGTACTTGTTATATCTCTTATCAAAGACCAAATGGAGTCACTGCACTTTTCTTATAACAACGTAATGTCTCACACACACATTTCCTCCCCCACTCTCACCTTCAGCCTCTAGTTGCTTGAGCTGCTGTCCTGTTCGTAAAAAGTACTTTCTGAGGATAACGAAGAGGAAAGCCAACGGGATGGCAGCGATGAAGATGTAAGGCCGCATGATGGACACAGTGAAGATGGCACCCGTAACAATCAACGTGAGCTGGTGTTAGAGGGGAAAAAAGAGAAAAATGATCAGACCTATGGCGGTCAGACTGTCAAACTAGGTAGCACAGATCAAAGATGAATCAAGATTCTGTTACTGCATTGCCTATTTCTGCCTCACACGTCTGCAGAAACACATCTCAGTATACTGTTTAGCTGTAAATGAGGAAGTTCGGGATCTGGTCGCCATGTTTAAAACAGTCGAGCCAAAACAAGGCACCTGCTGGACGGAGAAAATGTTCTCATTTTACAACTGCACAGTCACTAAAATATGTTTCTGAAAACATCTGAGGTGAGAAATCAACAATGCAGCAACAGAATATTGATTCATATTTGATCAGCTCTGCCCAGTTTGAGTTAGTCAATCAGTTAACAAGCAGTGACTGACATGATAGACAGCTGCGTTAGAACCACCACTGCTTCATGTATGGATCACTGAATGACTTGCAGCCTAAATCTAGAGGGCACTTTCATTGTGTTCAATTCAATTTTCATTTTGACTCTTTTAATTCCTTTCATCCACCGAGGCATGTGCAATACCTCATTTTCTTTGTCCCCAGAATTTTCAAAGAAGTTGGACCAAGGTCGTTCCGGCGCAAAGCTCCATCTGACTGGAATAATCTTCCTCTTTTCCTGAGATCTGTTACCTCTTTCCACTGCTTCAGGACTTCTTTATAATAATATTTCAAAACAACTTGTTCATATTTTTAAAATGTCGTACTGAAAACCAGAGGTGGAAAGTAACTAATTACATTTACTCATGTTACTGTAATTGAGTAGTTTTTTAATGTAATTTGTAATTTTTTCAGTAGTTTTTAAAATCTGTAATTTTACTTTTACTTGAGTAAATTTTGACTGAAGTATTGTACTTTGCTACATTTGAAATCACATCGCCAAATAACATAACTGTAGTTTCTAAAGAGCTAAGACAAAAAAACTAAAAATAAATCAGCAGCGGTCATATTTCAGCAGTGGAGCACCACTGCTGCTAGTTGCACATAGGGGAAACACTGTTGCTCAATGGATTTGTTCTGTTTTGGAATACACAGTATTCTTCCAAATTAGGTTAGTGTATTTTAATATTCAGAATTTCGCTTCCACAAGCTCTCTCTTTCTGGACCATGTTTGCATCCCTGAGAATAATGCCCAACAACGTTGCTCAAAAAGTTGCTCTGTGTATCATCAGTCTAACAGTTGTGTTGGTGATTCAAAATGAATGAGGGCTGCAAAATATTAGACAAAACTGACAATGCGACAACGATTTTGTGTACTGCGATATGTATTGCAATATACAGTGTATTGCAATAACTTGAATAGCTCTAGTTGGAAAGAAGTCATCATTTGGGATTTGAAAAGGCTGTATTTGCATGAAATATACATTTTACAATCAAACTGTCCTGGAAATTGAGAACTTCACAACCTAAAGTATTAACCAGCAAAATAATATGGCATATTGCCTTTTAAGATGAACTTATACTGTGAGTCTCACGATGTGACTATTGCACAAGGACGCATGGTGATGCTCTAATGATATTGTGCAGCCCTAAATTTAATTGAATTCTATGGTTCATCATAGAAAAATAACCAGTTTTTGGATTGGATTTATGACCCCTGGACCATTTTTGCACTGCATAGGAGTGACCCCCATCAAGTTGTTGGAAGTAACTAACGGCCGGGCTCCACCGGCTGCAAACGTAAGCGTCACGTCAGCGTAGCGTCGCGGCGTATTCATTTGGGCTCCACTGACTGCGTACGGAAGCGACACATAGAGAAGCCAGCGGGGTTGTTTACCCTTTGCTGAGCCGAGAGGCTGCATGAAATGTTAAAGCATTTTCCACCAAAGTTATTACATATATTTGAGTTATCTACAAGTTTACTGTACTGTTTGTCATCTACTCGCTGAGGGCGGGGGGATGAATGGGAAATGGTCAGCGAAATGTCTGTATCTGTGTATTTGTAGTGTGTGTTTTTAATGTAAAGCAGTTTTGTCTGTGTGTTTTTGTTTTGTATTTGTGGCTGAGGACACCCTTGAAAATGAGATGCTACATCTCAAGGGGCTGCCCTTTCAATAAATTCAAATTCAATACATGTTTAAGGAGTGCACAACTTAATCTCAGTAAAGAAAAATAACTACTTGATGTGTTTTCTTTCACTACAACCTGAGTGAACATCAGTGCAACATTTGAAAGATCAAGGAAATTTTATAACTGATGTGGAGTTTGCATTATATTTCCTGGACAAGTAGGTAAGTACCCTTCAATTTCCCTGCACCCCTTTTGTTTTTGCACTATATTTATTATTTTATCTTGCACAGTATGTACAGTAGTACCGTGCTGGAGGAGGCAGATATGTTGAGTTTGTGACAAAATAAAACCTTGAAACTTGAAAACATTTTGTGACATCACCCACTGTGTTGGTTAAATACCTGTATGAGGTCAAACAGCACCAGAGGCAGCATGTCATCTATAGTGGCCATGTCCTTGGTGAACCTGTTAATGATCCGGCCTGGAAGAGGACAAACAAGAAAATTAGTGAATGACCATATCAGTACATGTACCACAACACTCCCGACATGTGACATTTCAATCACACAAAATTATAAACTGAGAAAATCACCTGTCTTCATGGTGTTGAGCACGGCCATGGGAGCTCGCAGCACGGCGCTAAGCATCTGTTCATGCAGTCTTTTGGACACAGTGAGTAGCGTGTGCACTAATGGGAGACCCCTGAAGAATCCCAAGGCCAGCACACTCTCCGACGTGGCCACAAAGATGTAGATGATGTAGTAGGCGCTCGTCGGTGTGACGATGACTGCCAGGTGGGTGGGGGGCGACGAGGTGTTGGGGTGCTGCTCGTCGATGTAGTTTGGCGATGCCGGGTTGGCGCCGTCCCTCCAGATCTCACTGTAGGAACAGAGCAAAGGACTGAAAATAAAACATGGACTGAAAACAGACACAGTCTAAACTGTAGCCCCGTCAGTCAGGAGACAAATCAGTTTGTGCCATTATTGCTCTTAAGTACTTAACACAACAGTGGCAATGAGGAGGAATGACTGATAACTGTTTGCATAATATGCAAAAATCTTTTGAGTGTACGATACGTTATACATCGAACACTGGATTAGAGCTGTAATGATCAGACAATTGCTAACTATTTTGATCATCAAGTAATCGTTTTGTCAGAATTACCGCCCCGCGGTTGCATGACTCCGCCCACCAGTCCAGTGTCTCTGACAGTCTCCATCCATGTCAGTGAAAACATGGATGCTTCACACACAGAAGATCTATACAATCAGCACAGTTTCAAGATCAGAGTCATCAATTCAGTATCTGACCAAATGTCTCCCCTTCTGTTCCTGAGATATGACGTTAAAACATGATGATGTCACAGTCAAGCTGACCTTTGACCTTCATTATTTTATCCTGTTAGACAATTAAACATTAAAAAAAGTATAATCATAATTAGCATATGAATTCTTTATTTGTGGCAAAGACATATTTTGTAAGGTCAAACTGACCTTGACCGTCGACCTTCAACTACAAAATGCTAATAAGTTTTTTCTTCAGTCCGAGTGGACATTTGTGTCAATTTAAAGAATTTCCCTTAAGGTGTTCTTGAGATATCGCTTTCACAAGGAGACAGATGCAAGGTCACACTGAACTCACACAGAATTCCAATCAGTTCACTGTTGAATCCAAGTGAACATTTGTGCCAAATTCGAAGAAATTCTCTCAAGGTGTTCTTAAGATATCGCGTAAGAATGAGACAGACAAGGTCAGAGTGACCTTGACCTATGACCACCAAAATCTAATCAGTTCATCCATCATCGTTTGGGCAGGTGTGCACCAAAACAACCAGACTGAGACCTTCTTGAAGAGGTGGTCTCGGTCCAGTTACAAATGAACTCTGGTGCGGTTGGTTTGTGGTGAGAAGGTGTTCCGACCTGGATGTGAAGCAACTGCAGTCACATGACACATTGTTTGGGTTAAACATGAGCATGTTACAGTCCTGGAGGATTATTAATGTGCACCTCCTCCTGTACTGCCTTAATATGCACATTCAGCACATCCAATGCATCAAAACATTGTTTTCTAGTTGGAGCCGCGCCTCGTTTTCAAACTGTATGGTTTGACTAAAATGAACAATGACAGCAATATAGTCCACGATGAGCAGCACTAAAATCAACCTGCGTAGTTGTCCCTCCATTGTGACATTAGAAAGTGTCACATTTATCTTGCAAGTGTACTCTTCTTCAACGTTTGCTTTACTTCCTGGATTTTTCCCACATGGAAATTCTGACCAATCAAGAGCAGCTTTCTCACACAAGGCATTTGATCTGGTCCGCTTGTAAATGCTGCTGTGAGAACACGAACCAACTCTAGGCAATTATACAACTTTGGAACAACATGAGTCCCTGATTCAGACCAAAGGAGACCACTCTAGGTCTGACAGCAGCCTTAGTCTCAGATTCTTAAGCAACATAAAACATGACACTTACTCAGTAATGAGGAAAATGCCAAGGACTGATCCAGCAACCTGTTAGTGGAAAGAAAAAAGCAAATATAAGAATCTAACTAAATTTACACGTAAAAGCAACTTAAATATGGTAGTAAATTTACCTCAAGGGCGAAGACTACGACGATAAAAATTAAGACGTAGACTAAGCTCCTATTGGTGGTGATGTAGCGTAGGTAGGTACTCCATGAGGTAGTTTCAAAGATGTTGTCACGTTCGTCTGCAAAACATTGCTGTGAAGAAAGGGAATTGACCTTTTACCGGACAGACCACGCTGCATATGCAGGAAAACTTTAATCTGAGACAAAAACAAGTGATTCTTTTTGGACATTTGAACGATCATGAAAATGAGCGTAAAGAAAACAGTTTGATTCTTCCAGAAGTCTAAACATAAAAAAAGCTCTACCTCCATGTCTTCTTCATCCACTTCCTCACTAATGTCATACACACTGTCCTTGGACAGGCGGCGGGCATAAATGTCCAGCTCGGTCGCCAGGTCGCACTGCGGCGTGATGGACAGCTTTTTCCTGAAGGAGGACTGCATCTGCTCTCTGCGCTCCTGGCCCTGAGAGTTGGTGATGAACGCTAGGACAGACTGGCGCCGCTGCCCGTTGAGGTGCTGCAACCCATGATGGTACAAGTTCCCCCTGGGGAGCACTTCCTCTACTTGATCATCCTCCGGTACTACTGAGAATTTCCTCTCAGAAAGTTCACAAGCCCCGTCCTCTATCGTCGCGGACTGGGGAGCATTTGCAGTCTGTTGGGAGTTCCCGATGAAGGAGAACTTGCGAGCGGCTGCCAGGGGATTGAGGATGAGGGACTGTTTGCGTTTTTCTGGGTAGCCATCACCTCCAGGATGGCCTTGGGATCCAGAGATGACTATGGGAGGCGGCGGCTGGCGGAATGACTGGCGAATTGTCTCTGGGCCTCGGAAGCCAGCGGTTTCATCGATGGACACCCTGCGGAGAGTTTCTGTGAGGATGGAGCTGCGTCGCTCTGCGTTGATGTTGTCATAAGCCTGCATGCCGAGGAGGAGGGAGCTGAAGTCAGGGCGCTGGGCCTGCAGCTCCAAGAAGGTACCGTAGAAGTAGCAGTCTCCGTTGTGCAGTAGAAGGATTTTGTCGGCTCGTTTTAGATGATCCAACTTGCTGGTGACTACAATGCGTGCCTTGGAAGCCATAAGTTTACACACACACCTGTGTGGTGATACAGAAAATAAAGACTGTAAAATACCAGATGTCACAATGGTTAAACCATACCTGACCGTCAGGCTGTGTATATAACACACAAGAAAAGACAGAGTGAGGTATCAAGTCTTCAAAGAATAACCAGCACTCAAAATTAACAAGCTCCTGGATGTGTTTATACCCATAACTATGTTCAAGCTTTCCCCACATAACCAAAATGTTTTTGCCAGATTTCCCCTCTGAACAACTGCCAAAGTCCACATTTCATCAAAGGATTATTCCATTTTGCTCAACTCCCATTTCCTGAGAAGGATTCAGTGTGATGAAGCAGCCGTAACTCACCACAAGTCAACCCCAGTGTGTGTCTGAGACAATAAGAGACAACCTTGACCTTGAACTTAAAACTTTAAGCTCAACCACCCCCACCTCCGCCACATGAAAGACTCTCTGTTGGGATACACACTTCTCAAAGATCTCTTTCTCTGTCACGATGTCCAGGTGGGTGAAAGGTGCGTCTAGCAGGTAGAGGTCTGCATCTTTATACACAGCCCTGAGAGAGAAAACACACACACGCACACACACACACACACACACACACACACAGTGAGTCAGAGAGAAACAGAAAGGTAAAGAAATGTGGACACATGAGATACAAAAATACAAATACTGACAAAACATTTAGTATTTTTCAACATGGACCTTATTTTCACGTTTTGGGGAAATGAAAATGTTTTAAAAATTGGCCGGTGTTAAGCAACAGGTGCTGCTACAAAGTCCCGTCTTTATGCTTCCTTTGAATTTTAACACAAAACCAAACAACGGCAGCATCAGTTTGCTCCAATGTGTGATTTCAGACAACATGCCAGCAACACGGAAGCAAAAGAAGCATGACAGGTGTGACATGTAACACAACAGTGTCTGCCTTTAGTGCTACATAAAACATATGTGTTGGCAGTGCTTTATAAACAATAACAATGGCATTAACATGGCAATAACAATCATTTACTGTCCGTTATATGGTGGCTGATCTTGTCCTCTGCCCAGAGGGTAAGAAGCTTCAAGACCTCATTGTTTTCCCAAATGACCCTTCGCTAAGCCCCGCCCCCCTTAGTTACTGTTGCCACGTCCGTCAAGCTTTCGCTCCTAGTATAAGAAATATGGAGTTTTCAACGATATCAGTGAGAGATATTCCAAAGGAAATAACATCAAATTTCTGGAAAAACTGTTTGGAGATATCAGAGAGAAGCCGACAGAAAGGTCTTCAATATGCATGTGAGAGCTACATTCACAATATCATCTGCTGGCGGAGTATAAATCATGATAACATTAAAATAGAGGGAAAAGCTCACCAGTCGTAATGCAAGCGTCAGGCACCCCACGTCTTGACACTTCACGTGAAGGACAATGAATGTTCTTGTACAGCAGGGTAAGTCAATATATGGATTAAATTTAAGTTAATGTTGAGTTATGTTCCCTCCTTGGGGTAGACAAAGGGAGCTAATAGAAGCTAATATGCCAAAGTGGCTAATATGCCAGACCTCTCGGTTGCTAAACACGGTTGCTAACGTAGGATTGGACAGTGACTGATTAAGGGAGAGGCTTAGCAAAGGGTCAATTTGCAGACATTTTCAGCCGCTGTTCTTTATTTAGTTAGCTGCTAACTGCTATCAGCTGCTGTTAAAATTTCTTAATGGCGGGTCGCACGCATAACACGTTGTCAAAACGTCACACCTGTCCTGTCAATGGTCCTGTCCTGCTGCCTGTCCCTTTTACACAAGATGTAGTTACAGCACTGTTACTACCTTTGCTGCCGCCTTAAAGGAGAGACAACTCTGTACCTGGATTCTGCGATTGTACCTATTATACAAAATGGAGAGGCGTGAGACTCCCACCTTGAAGAGGCAGTGTAAAAGGGGCTGGGGCTGCAGCTAGCAGGGTCAAAACAGATTTAAATGTAACCACTCTGGGCACGATCACATCATCGATTCACATCCACTAACAGTGTTTGTTTTTGCCACTGACAGGCTCAGAGTTTAACCAGAAACAGCCCTGAAATCACCGTCACCAAACACACCAGACTCCATTTAAATAAACTGTATGTATAGTATGTATAGTGCCAGTATATCAACGAATCCAGAACTGGCGACTGCTGGAACAATTAAAAGATAAACCAAGACAATTTTTGTAGGTTTTGTTTTGTTTCTGTTGACTTCGAATAAAGTGTGTTTTGTTATAATAAAATGATTTAAAAAAAGGATCTTACTCTTTCACAAAAAGGTCTGCCTTTGCAGAAGATCCTTTCCATAATATTGTCAGACACTCAGAATAACAATCTGAGCCTGTCAGTGACAATAACACACACTTTTATTAGACATAAATCGAGGGTACAAACATGCCTTGAATGGTTACACTGCACCCTGTCTCACCCAGTACTGGACCAGTTTCACAAACTGTTGATCCCATTAGTCACTAAGACACAAAAACATGGGGAAACAGGGTCCAGGTTAAAAACATACTGAAGTTACCCTTTAAGGTGAGAGAAACAGAGAATATTGTGACGACAGAAAGAGAGACTTTATATCAAATGGTGTAAATGAGGAAGTCTGGTCCCTGTGGATAAATCAATTCCAGCGAATGTTTACAGTGATGGCGGGAGCCAAAAAATACAATGACTGGCTGCAAATTGAAGCAAGGACACTAAGCCAATAAATAATGCATGGGAATACGTGAGTGTCTGACTGCTGTAACCTACACACAGATTTAATGGAGTAATAAAGCTCTAGCAGAGCCGTAGAAAGCACTCATCATTAAAATGTGAGGCCATAAAACACAACAGTTAGTGCAGGCAGACAAACACACAGATGAGAATGATCGGCGATGGTTATCAGCTGCAGCAGGTTATGGTTATGTACAGCAGAGGCTCGAATCTTTACACTGTTGGGAACCAAGCCAAAGACATCAAATCCTAAAATACATGTAAGCCAATAAAAACATCGACTAAATGATTTTTACAAAGAGTGGAACCTCTTACCCTGGAAGTGTTAGTTATGATATTGATAACGGTGATTATTTTATGGCCCTGAAATTGAATTTTTGAATTATTTATTGCAAACTGCAGTGTGTATGCAGACCTCTAATGCTGATAAAGGTTGCAGGAGTGAATATGTATTGGTTTTCAAATGAACACTAGAATTACCGCCCTGTGGTTGCATGACTCCGCCCACTAGTCCAGTGTCTCTGACATTCTCCATCCATGTGTGTGAAAACATGGATGCTTCAGAAGATCTATACAATCAGCACAGTTTCAAGATTAGAGTCACCAATTCAGTATCTGACCAAATGTCTCCCCTTCTGTTCCTGAGATATGACGTTAAAACATGATGATGTCAGAGTGAAATTGACCTTTGACCTTTTGACCTTCATTATTTTATCCTGTTAGACATTTGTGTAAGTTTCATCATAATTAGCATATGAATTCTTTATTTGTGGCAAAGACATAATTTGTAAGGTCACACTGACCTTGACTGTCGACCCTCAACCACAAAATTATGCTAATCATTTTTTTCTTCAGTCCAAGTGGACATTTATGTCAATTTAAAGAAAGTCCCCTAAGGTGTTCTTTAGATATCGCATTCACAAGAATGAGACAGGCATGGTCACAGTGACCTTGACCTATTACCACCAAAATCTAATCACTCTAATGTTTGTGCCAAATCAGAGGAAATTCTTTTAAGCTGTTCTCAAGAAATGGCGTTCACAAGAATGAGATGGATGCAAGGTCACAGCGACCTTGATCTTTGACCCTTGACCACCAAAATCGAATCAATTCATTGTTGAGTCCAAGTGAACGTTTGTGCCAAATTTGAAAAAAATTCCCTTGAGGCGTTCTTGAGATATCGTGTTCATGAGGTTGAGACATACATACAACTCAAAGACATAATGCCTCCGACCACAGCTATCGCTGGTGCGGTGGCATAACAATTCTTTTGGTGTATCATCTGTCAGTTATTTTCTGTGAGGCACTCCCTTTGATCGATCTCATGTGCAGCAGCTAATATTTTGGCCATTTCCTACAAAGGGAGTTGAATTCCCATTTCTCATTAAACAATAATATACCACAGATTCTAGTAAACAAATGGACAATCTCCTAAAAAAACCCACACAAAACAACTCACCACGTGCTATATTTACCTCTTACGAGCATGTCATTAATAAGAAGTGTGACTCAAATCCTCAATTATGTTCTATTTTTGTCAAATGTGAAACAACAACACGAAAGGTCTGACAAAGCAAAGAGCAAAATTAAAAATAGCCAGCAGAGGTGGCCTGCACTGACAGTTACAAGGAAATGAATGAGGCATTCTGACAGATGCTCAGGTGTGAGAGGAAGTACCTGGCCAGTCCGAGACGAGCCCTTTGACCGCCGCTGAGGGTCACCCCTCCTTCAACGAGGAGCGTCTTGTCTTTTTCAGGCAGCAGAGCAAAGTCCTGGCACAGAGAGGAAAGGAAGAGGTCAGCAGGTCAGACACAGACGTATGGTCACTTTTTAGAGAACAGTAAGAGGAACGGCGTGATACCACAGAGCATGACGAAAAGGTACAAACATATTAGGACACTGAGGACAGTCAAACAATTCACTTTAAGGGACAATTTATCCCTGAATGAAAAATACCATTTTTCCCTCTTATTTGTAGTGTGATTTATCAGTCTACAACATTTTGGTGTGAGTTTCGGAGCGTTGAAGATATCTGCTGTAGAGATGTCTGCCTTCTCTCCAATACAATGGAACTAGATGCAGGCCAGCCATTATGAAATTCGGGCAGGTGGAAAACATTTTCAAAAGTGGGCCCCTCATCCAAACCCAATAATTAACTGCCCTCCAATGAATGAGTAGAGAAAAGTAAAATCAAACATTAGCTGAGGAAATTACTGCAAGGTATTAAGTCATGAGATAAAATCAGCAGTGAACACATATTTTTTTTCTTTATTTATTCATTCAGTCTTGAGGCTATTTTAATCAAATATTGGTCAAATTGTGGGCAGAACTGAAACAGCATAAAGAGTATATGGCTGTCAACTCGCAGTTTTCCAGTCATACCCATTTTATGCAATTCCAAGACTGTTTAGGAACCCAAGAATGCAGAAATATTTAAATACACCATTTTGAAAAATGGCAATATTCCCTTTTCCCTCGCCAGACTTTATCCCAACTTTGGAGCATTATTTGGCCCCCTTGCCAACAAGATAGCTAGCTAACATTACAGTCGGCATTAATGTTTACATCTCACGCCATCATTAGCATGAGTCTCTCTTCCATAAGTATTTGTCCTTCTGCGTGGTGATGCAGTTGGTGGGTGTAGTTGGGTAGAAAGAAAATAGTTCCTACGTGAAACTGCTCACAACAAGGTCTGTGGAGTATCTTCAGTAACCGGGTCATGATTTCTGGAAAGAGACTTTGATGTTGAGTTTTTCAAATGTATTTTTGGGCACTTTGAGCACCACAAGCTGAGTGTCATCTAGTTCCATTATAGTGGAGAGAAGGCAGACATCTCTACGGCTGATATCTCCAACACTCTGCAACTCACACCCAAAAATCTAGACTGATAAACAGCACTACAGGTAAGAGGAAATGTGTATTTTTGATTCTGGGGCAAACTCTCCTTTAAAGAAATATCTCACGTCCACCTCTTTGAAATAGACCTCCACATGCTTTGCTATGATTGCGTCAAAGTAAAACTGATTCCTTTCAGTTTCTCTTTCTATAGTGTGACTGACGTATTTAAATTTTACCAGGTAGTTGAACATGTTTTGAAGTGTCCAGTGTGAAGGCCTGATGACCTTTCACAACGCCCTTGTGCACGTTCATAATTAGCTTTTTTTTTTTTTTTAGGGTGCAGAAAATGGCCCTATATGAATGATTTTGGGAATGTGGTGACTGGGGGATTTCCAGTATGTTCTGAGGGAGGAAATGCAAAATATTTTGACTGGAAAAACACATCAGGGGCAGACTGAAACAGCACAAGATTGTAGCACCATGCAGTCAATGCAAAATACTGGTTTCACTCAGAATAATGCAGGGTAGAAAATGAAATGGAATAGAAAAAACTAATACATGAAAATATAGTAATAATGATAATAATAATAATAATAATGATAATAATAATAATAATAATGATAATAAAATCAATCCTTTTTTGTATGGAAAGTTGCTGATTCAAATAAATTAATTTGAATTAAATTCAATTTTAATATTCCTAATTTAGTCTTTATTTATTGATATGCGTGAGTAAGGTATCTCTTATTGTGTTACTACTGTTTACTGTATATACAACATAGTGTGCCAAGACACAGTCCTGAACATGACTATTACCTGGTAATCAGAGTAATTTGTGCTCATATGACCACAGATTTATTGTCAAAGTTCAAACCACAGAAAGCACAAACCACAGATGAGACAGGCACATGGATGATGTCACAGGTTGAGACATACGGTGCGTTCGGTGGTAATTGATCATGGAAACAGACGTCCAAACCAATAACAATGAAGTGACAGTACAAGTTTATCATCGTTAAAGCGTCCTACCTTTTTCCCGTCAGCTTCCGCTGTCCTGACAGGAGCGCATAGGGGACCAAGTTAACAGGTTGTTTAACAGCTTGTAAAATGAGGAGGCATAGTAAAAAGACATGTTGTGTGTCTCACTGTGAACAAAAAGCGCCTGCCGGTTGGGTCGACTAGCTCGAGGCTGGAGAGGCAAAGGATGAGTTTACAGTGGGAAGACCACCCACGGCAGTCTGTCTGGTGCTTCAGGGAGCAACAATGGTGAGGAGTTACAGTCAGAAGCCCTCTAAACGCCTCGTCTCCGTCTGAGGAGATCTGCTCTAGTTGTCACTTCTGTCTGTCAGGGTTGCCTTGGGGATTTTTCCTGTGTCTGTTTCTCTCTTAAGAAATTTCTAACCTCTTGAAGTGCTTGACGAGGCAATTCACAGAGAATCAGTGAAGGATTGGTACTTTTAACAGTTATAGGTAACGATGACGAAGTCCCAGTGTCCTCAAATGCGATGACAAGAAAGATCCAATGTCCTTCAACGAGCTGATGAAAAATTACAAATGTCTGCAAATGAGTACTTCCTAATCAACAACGTCTCAGCTTGTTACTGTTGCTAAAACTGGTCTAAAATGTCTACAAACGAGGACAACAGGTCTAAGTTGAGCAGAATGAAGTATAAGTATGTTTTTTAATTGGTAAATCCGCCTTTTGAAAGCGATACTGAGGGATGGGACAAATATATTGAAGAATGGGGACAATATATTGTACTAATACTGTACTACTGGCAGAACGGCTGGTTGAACAGGCAATCCTACAATCATCCCTCTTCAATATTATTTGATTCGATTTGATTTGATCAAAATGGATTATCTTCTGTTATCCATACAGTCATATCTGTTGTCTAACTGAAGAGGTTTTTGACCTGTGATGAGGAAGACAGCATTTTGTACTTGGAAAATCTGTCTTTCTACTATTAGCAAAGACCTGTGGCCGCGTTTTACAGTTTTTATTTATTCATTAAGTGTTATTTATTCATTTAATTCCATTTCCATTTCTTTAAATACATATATTTTTAATTTATTTTATTTGTCTTTGGTGAAGAGTTAAGTGATATCTGTTATTTTGTCTGTATTTTAATAAAAAAATAATCATTTAAAAAGGGCGCAATCTTTGATCCAAACAGCAACAAAATGGTTTCCACCATTCTTACACATACACACACAAAAAACATTTTTCTCTCCCAAAACACAAGATTTAAACCACTGTAACTCTTAAACTGATTGACTGGTTACACAGCAAAGACAAAAACTACAACACGTTACAAAAACCGATGATGTTGTAAAAAAGGTTGTGTAAAAGCTGCAGTTTAAGATGCCACATTTTTTAAGTGAGGATCATTTTGAGAAACATAAGAAAAAATGTTTTCCTTTGAATTTAAATCTTCAATTATGAAAGACCATCTTAAATGTATCTGATATAAAATATTGTGAATTCTGCCTTAATAAGGATCATGCTTTCTGCAAATGCAGATGAAAAATGTAGATGAATTGCGCTTTTTTTTTTTATCATTTAAAAAAGTACCTAGTGTGATGCCAGACTGATACATGACATGACATTGCTTAAAATCACTTGTAACCACAAATGAATCCTTCAAATAAAGCTTCAGCTCCAACACAGTTTGAGGATGAGCTGCGTTTAGAGACTGTTTGACAAAACCTCAGAGGAACTGTCTCTCCTGTTTTCAGCCTCAAAACTCACAATCAAAGCACGTCGTGTCATTTCCATACAATCTAAAGCCGAACTGACGGTGTGACTCCTCTCCACACTGCTTTTGTTATTGACCTAACATGCCAGCATTTGACTCCTCCCCTCAAAGACAAAATGGAAGCAGATTTTTTTTTTTTTTTTTTTTTTACAGTATATTGAGGCGTCAGTGTTGCACACCATCTTTGTTTGCTGTGACAACATGTTGTGTTTTTGTCAAAACCACTGAGACACTGTCGGTGCCACAGGAGATGGAGGTGGCTGTAAATAAATATGATGTGTCGCCCTCTGTTTGAGCTGCTCCACTGATGTCTGTATAAATTATACTAATACAGTGTATTTAAAACACCAATATAAACAAAAAATGCCTCTGATTTATCAGTATAAACTTCAAGTTTACACAGGCTCCACAAATTATTCCAAAAATTTGATTTGATTCAACACTTCTTAAATGCTTGTGGTAGTTCGGAGACACAGTGTGGGACAGTTCATTACTCAATATATGACATCACTGTAATGTACTCTTCCTGTATATTCTACATATAGATGACATGTCCTTGACGTATCTCAGACATCAACATTTCTGAGACCTTTACATCTAAATCATTTATGTCAACGTTTGTATTGCATGTTGGACTTTTTGTGTGTCCATTCAGACTGTTTGTATTTTCTATATACGTATATAGTATCTTACTATATCTTACTATATGATGACAAAAACTCTGTGTGTGTGTCTGTTCCACGTTTTTCTCCTCACTGACTTGGTCAATCCATGTGAAATTTGGCACAGTGGTAGAGGGTCATGGGAGGATGTGAATGAAGCAATATTACATCAATTGGCCAAAGGGGGGCGCTATAGCAACCGACTGAAATGTCAAACTTTGAATGGGCATATCTCATGCCCCGTATGTCGTAGAGATATGAAACTTTGCACAGAGATGCCTCTCCTCATGAGGAACACATTTGCCTCAAGAACCCATAACTTCCACTTATATAGATTTTCAGCCATTTTGAATAATTTGAAAAAAACTTCAAATGGATCTCTTCCTAGGAAGTTTGAGCGATCTGCATGAAACTGGGTGAACATAATCTAGGGAACAATATCTAAAGTTCCCTCTTGGCAAAAGTTGGAAAACTTACTAAAACTGAGCTTCTATAAGGCAATGAATATTGCGGAGGGCGTGGCTCATCACATAAAGGTGTATAACATCTCAAGGGTTTCACCCATCACCACGCAACTTTGTAGGCATATGACCACACATAATATGAGGGGACCCCTCCATTATTGACCCCATCAAACAAAATGGGGGCGCTAGAGAGCTCATTTCTTATCTAGGCCTAACCGCCATATGGATTTTTACTAAACTTGGTAGATATGTAGAACAGGACGCCTCAAGGTGACTGGAGAAATTTAACTCTAATTGGCAACTGGGTGGCGCTATAACAACAGAAAAATGCTTCAAAATGGCTAAAATGTGACCGATCGCTGTGGCTCCCCCTGTGGACCAATGTTGGTGTTTTCTAATGTTTGGTATGACTAAGTCATGGTATGGTATGCTGTACAAAATCTACTCACTGACGTGGTCAATCTATGTGAAACTGCACATAGGCATTGAGGATTGGCATAGGCAGAAGGTGACAAAGCTACCAATGGCTATGGACTAGTACATAAGTATTATACATGCATGTGCAGTATCTACAAAAAATATTATATCACTTCTGGCAGTTTGCAGCATAAAAAATTCCTACTAGTTTTTCTGCTCAACAATGTAAAACATATTTAATAATATGACTGAATGTAGAGTCACAGGACAGATCTGACAGTGTGTCCACACAGCTTGTCTGAGCTGCAAACGTCTGTCACTGGGAACCAACAAGCTCATATTCCATCCCAGTGACATAACGTGAGATTTCCATAGCAACGGAGGAGACATTATTCTGCTGAGGGACCCGTCACTCAACAGTGAGGCTTATGAGAGCCTGAGTGTGTGTGTGTCAGTGTAAGAGACAGAAGCTGTGCAGGCATGCGTGTCTTTGTGTGTGTGAGGCTCATAATGGGTGTGAATGTGGAGCCAGGGAAACCTGAACCTTCTTGATGCTTTGCAGAGGCTCCAAACAGACAAGTGAGCAGAGAGCATCAGTCTGATGGAAGAGAAAAGACCTGAGGAGGAGGAGGAGGCTGCTGGAGATGAATTTATTGGAGAAAACTATTATGAAACACAAAGTTATTCATGACTAAAGGTATTATTCAGTGACATCTTCAGTGCAACATGTTGCTACTATGTGTCACTGATTTATAGTCACTCAACATACTCCTGCTCACTGACACTTTATTTTTGTTTGTACCCTTTTTAATTGACAACAGTGGCTGCGGTCTGCAAAATATGTGGTCGGTTGTGCCAACCAGGACGGGAGACACAACAAATTTTTCATCACCTGAAAACGTGCCGTCCCAGCGACTACACTGACGCATGAAAATCCGGCCCAAATTGCATTAAGTCCACCAACAATTAATGTCAGTTGAGGGGACAAGTTCTCATGGTGGTAGCAAAGTATCGAAATATCCAGTGAACTTTTAAACAATTATTGCAGCTTGACAAAGTTTTCCATAAGTATTTGAAAATCGCTGACATCTTAAACAACCACCTGTGCCGTTTTATTTTTAGGTTAGGATTCCTTCAGCGTTCACTGTTCAGGATGTTTGGACCGGGAGCCAAATCACCCACAGAGGTCTCCTCCTCCTTCAAAACAAACAGGTCCAGTAATTACAACCAGTAAAAAAAACTGAATAAAGCAGTTTCACGTTGGAAATGTGTGTTTCTTCGACACTCCTCAGAGCATCAAGAGGAGCTGCTAGCTGAGCTGCCGCTGACATTAACTCAACTTGTTTATCTGACAACTTAAATTCCAATGATTAAAATCCTTCAACAGGTGAAAAGGTAAAGTTAAAAATCTAAAAAGTGATGGTGATGTGAAACAGTAAGAAAGTCAGCTGGAAATGTTTCAGTGTCCATTGCTTATAGGAAATCCACAGTGTGATCTACTTCTGTCCATATTCTTAATATCCAAACACCCATATTTTCTCAACACATCACTTATCATGTGAGAGCCCGCTGAGCTTCTGCATTACGTGCCACACTGCACCTGTGTATTCAGTCACATTTTGTGCCTGTGTTTTGAACACTCGTGTGGTCCATCTGCATGTTCAGTATGCTCCAAATATGTGTGTTTTCACCAAAAAATGGTTATTAATCTTCATATTTTAGGGGAAATATGAGTGTTTGAAGCTCCCTGACCATATTGACTGGATTGTGTTTTGAGATGTTTGCTGGCCGGGTGAAAATATCAACAGACTGCACTGATTTACCACATTAAAAATCTTGGCAAAAATCCTCTGCTGTAACAGAAGTGGTTATATTTAATGTGTTCGGGTGAGTCTGGTGTTATAAGCAAATGATTTGTGTAGTTCACATGAGCAACAACAGCCTCCATGTTTGACCATCCCGACAGAAATACACTGACAAAGAGAAAGAATGAATAACATGATAAAGTGAAGGTACCTCCTCCAGTTGGCAGGCCTTGATGACGGAGGTGTAGCGGTACTCGTCATAGGTCAGGCCAAACAGGATGTTGTCTCGAATCGTCCCCGGCATGATCCAGGAAGTCTGTGGTGAGAACGAGATGCGACCGCTGTGTCGGATTTTACCCTCTGACGGCACCAGCTCTCCCAGGATCATCATGAGCAGGGAACTCTGCAGTGAACAGAGAACATTTTTATGCTGAGGCATTAAGATGTTAAGGCTGCAGTGAGTCAGCATGTAGGGCCTCAGTGCCTTGCTCGAGGACACTTTGACCAAACATCTGACAGTAAATGGATTCAGTAGCACATGCAGATTCTGTGCAGTCTCAATAAACACTCTACCCAAAACCTGATGTTATTTTGTTTGACCTACCTTCCCTGAGCCAGTGGATCCAGCCACTGCCAGCATCTTGCCCTTCTCCAGGTACAGGCTGATGTTTTTGAGCACAGGTGTGACGTAGAGGTTAGTGAAGAAGAGGCCGGCGTCACCGTTCAGGTGTCCGTTAGCTTTGTTCTCATGCTTGATCCTCTCAAACAGCTCACCGATGCCCTGCACAAGAGTTCAAATCAGAGTCTTAATGGATTAAATAAACACTTAAGATGGTACACAGAAACATAATTTATATTTAACCATTTCTCCCAGTTTGTGGAGTTTTCATTTAGTTTTTAAAGCTCCAGTGTGTCAGATTCAGGGGGATATATTGGCAGAAATATAATATAATAATAATAAGTCTGTTTTCTTTAGTGTATGATCGCCTGAAAATAAGAAGTGTTGTGTTTCCGTTACCTCAGAATGAAATGCTTACATCTACATAGGGAGCAGGTCCTCGTCTACGGAGATGGCCATGCTGCACCACCATGTTCCTACAGTAACCCAGAACGGACAAACCAAACACTGGCTCTAGGTAGGGACATTTGCGTTTTCACATCACCCACTGTAGTTAGCAGCATCTCCACGATGAGCAGTGTTGGAAAAACACTGTTTTTTTGGGTTTTTTTTAATTTTCTAACATGAACTTGATTTATTCAGTTTTTCTAGTGGTCTAAATCACTGAGTCCTAAATCTTACACACTGGACCTTCAAAATACAATTTCAAAATGTACAACATATATGTACAGTATTAGTGATGTCATGAGAACCGATACTCATGATACCTTTCAGAAAAACAAAACAAAACCAGCGATACTCATTTTTTTGAAAAACCGGAAGAACTGATACCAGCGTAAGAAGCGGTGTTATGACTCTTCCGGAACTGATGGGGGCAGTATACGCCATATAGCGTTACAGTCCATGCCTACATTCAGAGTGAGGGGGTGACGAGGAAGTAGAACTACACATGGCATACCTACACACAAAAGGATGGCAGAAGCAAGCACTTGAGAGTAAGCCGGTACGGTCTGGTACCGCATACCACTAAGGCCTTGTTTAGACGACAACGGTTTCTCTAAAAACAGAAAAGTCTGTCCTTTGCGTTTTAAAAAACTTCTGCATTTATATGACGACGTTATTGAAACGATCCCTGTTCAAATGGAACCGCAAAATCTACTGGAAACACTGTAGTGTGCACGCCAGGCCAATGGGTGGCAGTGTAAATTTGCAAAGCAACACCACGGCATGACGCCATGCACCTGCGCTGAAGCGCCTTCCTCTACAACGCGGTGATTACAAACCAAAACAAAGAAGACACAATGGCGAAAGCAAGCACAGATAACTTTGTCTGGATGGACGACGAGGTGGAGTTGCTACAGTAACAGATCTACACTTCACTTCAAATCAACAGGGTGAGCAGCACAAACAGCTCGGCATTGTTAATGTTGTGACGGTCGGCATGCCTAGTGACTGGAACCGTATGCGCATGTGCGAAAAGTTTTGCTGTTAAATGTCATTCAGTTCAGTTTGTTCCATTTCAACAACACAGAGAACAGCTTGAACAAGCTGCGTGTGAGCTAACGATCAGGGATTTCACTCTCAGCAGTACACGACTGCGCATGCACGTCTACCTCCGAAACACAGCGGTTGGGGTGCGTTTGATTTATCGTACTGGGACGTTTGATTTTTCCACAACTGGACCACGGACATAAAACAAATATTTTACTACACATGTTGTTAAGTGTTTCTAATTTCTTTCTACTCCATACAGGTACAGTAAAATATTGAAATGTTTTTATTTGTTTGTTTGGTTTTTGACTTTGCTTTTTAAAAATGCATGAAGCGAGGAGAAGTGAACAATATGAAGCAATGAAGGTTTTGGTAATAGTATAGGCAAGAATTTAAAACTACTTTACCCCTGTATATACAGTAAGTAATATCAATCTGTTGATAGAAATGTTATTTTAAAGATATTTTTTGGGCATTTTTACCTTTATTGGACAGGACAGGTAAGCGTGAAGGAGGGAGAGAGAGAGAGAGGGGGGATGGCATGCAGCAAAGGGCCACAGGCTGGATTCGAACCCGGGCCGCTGCGGCAACAGCCACCGACATCCCAGAAATGTTATTTTATATGCAAATATTTTAATAAAGTATTTCTTGTTTAAGTACATGGGATTTTAGGATTATTTTTTTTTTTTTTTTACCGTGGTATCGATACTGGGATATGAGACTAGATATTAGTGATGAGCGAGTACATCATCATCTGTGTCTGTATCTGTTCAACCAACCAAATTATCTGTAACTGTACTTGGAGTGGGCGGGGTTTATGCCAGAATTGGGTGGAGTTTAAATCAAAAGTGGGATGGGCCTAATCAGACGATGTTGTTTTAAGCCTGAAATTTATTTGGATTAATCAGCAGTTGAAATATTTATTACCTGTGAGAAAAGTATTTACAGAGCAGCCTCAGAGCTGAGCTTGAGATCATTTTTTATCACAAGAGTAACAGATTAAACACAGCTACCAAAATGAGGATTTTCCTTCATCACAAGTACAGATAATGACACATTTTACTTGTATGATAATCCTTCTTGTAAAAAGTACATTACCCGTACGGGACGCTCGTTTCATTTGAGTATTCAGCTCAACCCTACTAGATATCGTCTTAGATTTTGGATATCCTAATATTGTAAGTGTTTTCCTGGTTTTAAAGGCTGCGTTACAGTTAAGTGATGTAATAATTGTCGAGCCCTGTACTGTACTTCATTATATCACATGAAACTACTACAGAATACTATGTTGTACTAGATTCTACGATATTAGAGTAAAGAGACCTGTGTTTTACCACCAACAGTCTTCTTTAACAACACTGTACCGTGCTACACAAATGTAAACGTCATTCTGTGTGTGTGTACGTGGTTTGTGTTTTTACTTTACATACAGTAGCTGTCTGCCTGACGGATGTCTGAGTGTGAGTCACGCTGTGCTTTCAGACCAAACTGCTGTGACAAACAAGAGAGTCTCCAAAGATAGAAGGAGAACTCCCAAACTCTCACAGTGGCCTTATTTCACATCATCTGTCACTGCCTGCGTAAAGATTAACGGGTGACACATCACTGTTAAGAAAAGGGAACTCTGCTCGACTCGCCCAGCTTAATCATTGACCTCTGTGACATTTCATGGGTCAGCGTCCCTCTAATGCCGGGCAGTCGCTCGCTGCGGTTTGTATAGGTTAGTCTGTGCAATTCTCATTCTAATGAGCTGACGTACACGCTGTCAGCAGTAAAGAAAGGCAACACCCCTCCCATTCATCTGAGAATGGCACATTCCAGGAAGAGGAGAAGGCAAGAGGAGAATCTGGGAATGAGGTGATGAATACTGTGAATCTCAAAGGGAGATTCAGAGTGTTCCCAGCAAAGGCAAAGTTTGGTGACGACACTGCGATAATTAATTATGCAAAGAGACGGGGAAAAAAACACAGATGGAGGCTGGTTTTCTCACGGTGTCGGGTGGTCAATGAATCACACCTGTGAGATGAAGTTTACAGCCTCTGCCCATAGATAAGATTATACTACACAGTCCCAGTGATGGTGAGGAATTAACTCTTACACCTGTAATGCAACGTGGATTTAGGACAAAACTACACTATAACACACTACAGACCATCACCAATAATAACATTTGGGAGCCAGATAATGACACAAAATGCGCAGCGCACCGCACTGCCTTTTGTTTTTGTTGGGAAAAAGAAGAAAAAACACTTGCTGGGCCTTTATTGTTGCCAGGCAACCACTAACTCATCTCCTTATTCTAACCTTCCTGTGTAATATACCGTTTATCTATTTATCCTCCAGTAGTCAGTGTGTAGTTGCTGACATGTTGAGGCAGAGGGTACTGTCTGTAGCTCTGGTTGAGGGTGAGAGGCTGTCAGCAGATAAACAGAGATCTGTGTGGGTACATGAGACCCTAAAAAAGAGGCTGGATCATGGGGAGTACCACCAGTTGGTCCAGGAGCTTCTCCTCCATCATGGACATTTCCAGGCATATTTTAGGATGACTCAGGGGCAGTTTGACAACCTGCTGTCTATCATCAGGCCGTATAGCTCTGGGTATCCAGCAACCACTACCACCAGTTTCTCCTCCGTTGTTTACCAACTGTTAATTTGTTGTCGTGGCCACCACAGAAGGCCCGCCTCTCAAATCATCCCATTGGACAATGGGGAAAAAGCGGAGATGACATGGAGCGCTTTCCAGCTCTGAGTTGAAGTTTTATAACTCAAGGTGTTCAGAGTGCTCAGGCAAAAATCACCAGGCGTGTAGAGTGCAGAAACATGAGGCGCGTAGCAAAAACAGCGAGCATTCTCATTAAAAACTCTTACAATGCATTGCAGCTGCAAAAATGCTTTCCATGTGATCGCGGCCTGATGTGTTTACATAAACAAACATATTTGACACTTGTCAGTCGTCTCAAGTGGAAAAACTACAGTATGTAATGGCAACACCGTTTCTAAACTACCTTAAACATGTCTGGCATCCTAACACACAAGCAAATGAACAAACCTCGTCCCAGGATGCAGACACGTTGACCAGCTCCAGTTCAGTGGTGGTCAGGTTGTACTCCAGCACTCTGTATTCTTCCTTCAACAAGAAATCCTGGAGGAAAACACAACAATGGAAGATGTATCAGTGCCTTGATGAATGGCGTCCCCCTCAGACGTGCATGTCTCTGAACCCACCTCAATCTTCTTGACCAGTGCCAGCGTGTCATACCACATCTGGATGGATCCTGGCAGCTGGCGGGTCAACGTCATCCGCAGCACCATGCAGTAGGAGGCTGTGGTGAAGATACGCCGCAGGATGATGCCTTTACTGAGCGCATGCGGCACGATGGCAGACACGATGACCAAGATGGCAGAAAAGAAGTATGAGGCGCTGTAGAAGTAACGCAGAGAACCAATCTTCCTCGTAAGCGTCATCTCGTCACTGAGGAGGGAAGGAAAGAGGGACGGAGGAAAGATGTTTGTTTTTTTTTTATTTCATAAGTATATGAATAATACTAGTGTGATAAAGCTTCATTGAAACACTGCTTCATTATTTTACATTTGTTGTAATCTATATCAGATGAACATAATTATTCATATCACATTACTGAGAATTACAGGATCTCTCTGCAACCAGCATCCAAAAAGGCGTTCTGGTGAACAATATGTCAGTTTTTCATGATGCTATTATCAGGTAAATGTGAAGTCTTGATGGCTCCATGTTAGCTCTGTTGGCTATCAAACTATTTCTGCACCATGACACCAAAACTCTTTCCTGTACGTTTACTGTACTTGCCAATTACAGTGATCCTGATTCTGGCTCTGACAGCCAGCAGTGGCGCCAGCGTGGTTCTGCTGGCTAACCACATGTTTTAACATCTCTGTCTCAGTTTTAGCACCAGGTTGATTCCACTTCTGCTGCTCAGTTGAGGCCTTCTGAGTTGGCTGACTCTCTAGTTCTTGTTTCTTTTACCTGCTCAGTTTCATTTATTACAGTATATCTATAATATCAATACACATACAGCATATAAAAAGATACTGCAGAGATGGATGACTTGAAGGATCAGGGATATATACTTTAATCTCCACACTTCAATCAATAACAATAAAAGTTTCTCTCCTTCAACACTGTTAAAATGGCCTAAGACCTGCCGATACCCAACTCTGATACTACGTTATTTAAAGATATTTTTACAAGTTTAAATGACAGTAGTGATCATTGTCTGCTTTTTACTTAGTCATAGTCCTGAGTAGGGATGGGAATCGACGGGTTCAATTCATTGACATCATTAGCCTTTATGCTTAATGACTCCCTTATCGATTCTTTTCATTACACCGAATCTTTACGTCGATGATGCACATCATGCTTGTCAGTCAGCAGTACGTTCAACAACAAAGAAGACGAAATGGTGGAGAGACAGAAGCGGTCGAAAGCTTGGCTTCACTTCACCAAAAAAGACTCATGACATTCACTCATCACAACAGCATGACGTGCAATTTATGCAGCACCATAATTACATGCAAGGGCGGAAACACCACCAATGCTACAATTCAATTCAATTTCAATTTTATTTATAAAGCCCAATATCACAAATCACAATTTGCCTCACAGGGCTTTACAGCATACGACATCCCTCTGTCCTTAAGACCCTCACAGCGGATAAGGAAAAACTCCCCAAAAAAAAACCCTTTAACGGGGAAAAAAAAAACGGTAGAAACCTCAGGAAGAGCAACTGAGGAGGGATCCCTCTTCCAGGACGGACAGACGTGCAATAGATGACGTACAGAACAGATCAGCATAATAAATTAACAGTAATCCATATGACACAATGAGACAGAGAGAGAGAGAGAGAGAGAGAGAGGGAGAGAGAGGGAGCCCGGTGTATTATAGGGGGTCCTATTTGTTTTCCACTACAGGGCTCTACTGTGCGAGTATTTCAACGTTACTCGCATTTGTGACTTAAAATAGTTTTGTGCGAGCAAAATAAATCATTCAGCACGCTGTGCGAGTACAGATTTCAACCAGCAGCAGAGACGAAAGGCGAATCCTGACGGTTGTGGGTTGAACAGGGGTCACAGACACAGACACGGACAGGAATACGTATTCCTGTCAAATACAGTGGCCATAGTGCTCCACGGCGCAAGATAACGGCTTACCGGCGACAGAGAAGCCCAGCTCCAGGTCCAATAATTTCCTCTTCTCGGTGTCACCACTGCCCAAAAGTACCTGAACAGCCGTGCCATGGCGGCACACAGGTATGTGATGTGTCAGAGGAGAAACGAGCCGTTCACATTTCCACAAACCTCACCGCACTTTAGGGACTGTTCTTAACTTGTCAGGGGAGGAGGGTGGCTGGTTGATTTTTATTTTATTTATTTATTTATTTTATTTTGATCCCCTCTATGTTAATCACTCACTGATGCTGTTTTTGAAGTATGAATAAGTCAATAAGTAATTTATTCCATTGAAATATCATTGATGTATTACAGAAGAGTGATTTATCTTTTTATAAATGACAAAAGGCACATCTGCCTCATTTTCGCTGTGGTATCCTGATACTACTCAGAACCATGATATTTTCACTGGTATCATACCGTGGGTCCCAGTTTTGGTACCGTGACAACACTAACAGATTCTGTATTTACTGTTGGTGTGGTCCCCATAAGGAACGCACAGCACAGGAAGCGGAACTGCTGCATTATATATAAAATCAGTCATTAATATTTTGTCTCCTCTTTAAACTACTTTTTTCAGTCTTGTCTTAATGTAGCCACAGCTATGATGAGTTCACACCAAAGGTGAAATGAACATTTTGCACAGCATGATTACACACAAAGTCAATACAAAGATGGAGATAGGTGCAAATTGGTGCCAGGAAATGTCAATCACGCAAATGAAGCGACACCAATGACACAAACCTGCAAAAATTTGCATATTCACGTGTTTGCAAGAGCCTTTCAGCGTTGGCATCTGTTTGAAAATCTCCTGACGTTTCAGAAATCAGAAATGGAGGATAAACTTATTGTCGCCACCTGTGGGCACCCGAGGCTCTACCACTCAAAGACGGTACCGCACAGAGACGGAACAAAAAAGGAGAGGGCTCAGAGAAAAGTGAGTCAAGTAAGTTAATTTAAGTAGGTCTTTTATTGTGAAAGGTAAACAACAGAAGGAGTGAAGCGGTTATTCACGGCCCTGATAGTATGAGAAATATTAGAATGCTGCTGTCTTGGTTCAGAACCGTGTTAACAGTGTTCATATCACTTGATTCCAGCTATTGGTTGGACGAACCAAGTTAGCCATTAGCTGCCTTCCCGAATTAGTTAGCAAAACTGCTAGCACAGCTGTAAAGGGTGAATATTTGCCCATTGCGAAATACTCTAAGAAACACTTCAGTGGCCGTATTAGCATGAGTTACACAAGATGTAACTGTTTCATGACGTCAGTGCCGTCTCCCTATCGTCTCTTCTTAGTCACGGAGAAAGGCCTCTGGCAAACTCATAGTTTACGTTACCAAAATTAACACTGAATGACGAACAGACCTGCTGTTGCAGTCACCATGAAGCAAACAAGAGTAAACTTGGGTATTAATAGAAAAGGCAACAGCAGTGGGAAATGTTTGTTTGTGACACAGTTGGGTGTTTTGGTGTCTTACTGCCTGATGTTCTTGATGATGGTCTCCATCACCTCCTCCCAGCCGTACGCCTTCACAGAGTGGATGTTCTCCACGATCTCTGTGGTGAGAGCCAGACGGCGGCTGATCATCCCTGCACGCTGTGTCCTGTTTACAGTTAAACATTGTCAACTCACAGCAGCATCAACACACAGAACACAGACAGAGCAAGTCACACGATCACCAGGACACACGTCTATAAGCATGACTGCATACATACATACAAGCGTTCACATGCATATCACAACATGCAGCTACATGTGCACAAACATGTATTTATGAACAAATAAAATACGAATAGAGAGAAGAAAAAACACAGGAGCTGCTAGACATTAGACTATAAAACAACTACAAGTTTATGTGTGGTTTTTAATATTTTCACACATATATTTGTTCTATGACACAAGTGGGTGTTGTAGTGTTTCCCCACCGGTGCGGTCCCATCTTCTGTGAGAGCCAGGCCTGGATGATGCCGAGCAGAGTCAGAGCTGCCAGCGCACAGAAGCCGTTCACCTCAATCAGCTCCCAGATCAGACCCACACACAGAATACACTGCAGGGGAGTGATCCACACAAAGTGGGCCAGACCCAGGCTCTGGAATGAAACACACACAGTACACAGAGATCACATCAGTGTACACAGACGAACTGGAATATGCGCTTGATGACAGAGAGGTCAAAGGTCAAGTTCAAGGAATACTCCAGTGAAAACCTGTGGGCTTATAAGGTGGCTCAGGGAGTTAACGGAGGACAGCGTCATCTTGGATCAACACACACAAAACAGAGATGGAAAAGTATTCATGTGCAACAAAGGTAAACAGTTAACTGAGCTGGCAGCAAACACATTCTGTCTTTAACCACAGTAAAGTGAAAACATGAGGGTTTGGGACAGACTGAGCGCACAGACAGACTGTAGAGTGAGAGGATCATGTTATGATGGGCCACTGTATGAAGAGGCAGGTCTGACTGAGATTAGGGCTGTACCCAAATATTCGGATATTCGAATATTCGTTTCTATGGGTAGGTATTCGTTATCAAAATTTGGTATTCGATATTCGTTTTTTTATTTGCTTATTTTTTTTATTATTATTATTATTTATTTATTTATTTAACATATCTTTTGGTGCTAAATGTAGTCTTTTTGTTGTTGGTAAATGTAGGTTATCAATAAAAATCAAAACTTTTAAACTGCATTGTTAAAAATGTGAAAATATAGTATAGCCTACCAACGGAGCTTGTGCACACGGCACGCTTGAGCACATCAGTCTGAGGCTGTGGATCAAAGCCAAGTTTTACCACTTTATCACTATTCCCTCTAACTTGTAGCTGTGTTTTCGTTATCTTTTGAATTTAATATGAATTATGGAACCGTTTTTGTCAACGTTTGTTTCCCCCTTTTTGTACAATAAATTATTGTTTAAAGTTTCAACAAGTTTCTTTTGGAGTGCGTGACACAAATGTGTTTTGAAAACGACCGCGGACTGTCACCTGCTCAAAGCATCAGTACCTTCGGATGCCATGACAGTAATAGCCAATAATGTCAAAATATCATTTACAGACAGATTTAACAGATGATCACTGCTGCCCGACCCGCAGGTCCATTTGCAGGTCCCGCGGGTTACGGGTTGACCCGCGCATCACTACTCAGCTCAGTCTATAAAGGCTGTACACAACAGTAAGGCTATAGACATTATATTGTATTCAGGCCGGCAGAACCAGCAGCGCATCGGCTCTACAGTGCACGGCACTGCTGATTAACCATTTTATTGCAGCACAGAGTGTCTGCCAGCAACCAATTACTTGCAGAGGCTTCCTACAACTTGTTTCAGCGGTTCCGATTTAATCAGAAGACAAATTAAACAGGATGACTAGCCAATGTGAAAATCAAAAGAAAGCACAGAATAATGTACTGAAGGAGACTGTTGTGCCATCACATTTTTTTGTGGTTTGACAGCAAAGATCCGGTCGCTGCTGTGCAAAACTCCGCAATACAATTAGGTCCGAAAAAACCCCAGAGGCAGACCGGGGAGGCAAGTTTCCTTTTTTTTTTGCTGCTTAAAATGAGTCACCATCACCACCACACTATAAACCCATATCCATCCACAACACACACTTTTAATGTAAAGTCAACACAAATAACCCAGACTGTCAAAATGACAGAAACCTAATGTTGACTTGACACAAAATAATAAATCATTTTTTCATGTTGACTCAACAGTTTTTGAGTGTTTTTGAGTGTTGAGTCAATAGTTTTTGAGCCGATTACGTCTAATTAGTCTGAGGCCAAATCGGGCGAAATAGGTGGAGTTTCCCAGCATGCCATTGGATGATGTGTTTAAGGCCATAAACTGAGGAAAACTGTGTTTAAATGTGTTCTACATCACTCACGTTACCCATTATGCAGAGATTAATGTTGATGTATTTTACAATGGCGCTAATGGGTAACAGTTAATGTTGTGGTAAAAACATTTTGCACTATACAGGAACTGTTGGCCCTTAGAGTGCCTGTACATAAGAACTGTTTGTACCCAAATAATAATTATCCTTACATTTACCCGGCTGAGCTCTATTTAATCATTGCATGCTTACAGACATCACAGAATCACCTCCTTCCACAGTTTCAATTGAAAATACAGCTAATCAAGAAATGTAACAGCCACCTCACTGATGGTTGAAACTATAAACCAGCACAAACATGATAATTACCATGTTCTGAACAGACACATCATAAACACTGTGGATTTACATTAGAAAATAGGTGCATAAAGGCCGAACAGAAAAATTAAGACTACTAAAGAAACACTAAATCAGCACAGACAGGCATGATGGGAAATAAGGGCGGTCCCATCGTTACTAGACTCTCAGCACCAGCATGGAGGTGCACATCACAGCTGAGACAGCGGAGCAGAGTCGAGTGGTGTGACCACAGTGACAGGTATAAACTATGAAATACACTGCTGCATAGCTAGTTAACAATGATTCTTTACGGTGAAAGTCTGATATAGTTCTGCTGTTGACAGCTGTCATATCACTTATGCTCGTTGAGATGTCAGTGATGTTGCTACCCAGCTACAGCTAGTCAATTTTATTGTGCTGGTTATTCTGTACACACAACATCCATCACACGTCTGTCTGTCCTGGGAGAGGGATCTCTCCTCAGTTGCACTTACTGAGGTTTCTTACATTATTTACCCTGTGAAAGGTTTTTTAGTGTTAAAGAGTTTTTCCTTATCTGAGTCGAGGGTCTGAGGACCACTGATGTATACAGAGAACAGGATACAGTGTTAAGAGACAGGGCCCCGTTCAGTCCTATGAAAATTGCTCAGTGGCACATGAGGCCAAAATAGTTCGGCTTCTCAGGTATGAATTTACCCAGATCTTCTACATTGTTGAGCACTAGAGACTTCAACAGCTGAGCGGCTAACTTCCAGTTTGGCTCTCGGCTAAACTCACTCAGTACGTTAACATGCACGCAGTAGTTGAGCTAAGCTCATAGCTCGGCTAATCAGTCAAGTCAGACTTCTCATCTTGTCTGAGTATACATGCAGGAGAGAAAATCAAATTTCTGAGCAAGTATGTCTGACTCTGCCTCGATAGGCGGCGCTGTGTCCTTTTTAATACAGTGCGTATCAAACTAGTTCCGGTTCTTGTTCAGAAACTTTTTAAAATGAATCCGTGTTTTGCGTTTTCCGACCATCCATAAACTTCAAAATGTTTAGCTCCTTTAGCCGTCAGAGCATGAATGTAGTTTCCTCCGTCCAGAAGTGCATCTTCTGCTTCTCAGTCGCCATGGTGTTTGTTTGTTTGTTTTTCTGAGAGTTACTGCACTGCTGCTACGTCATCTCCTTCTTCTTCCAGGTGAAAGCTTGCGAAAGAAAAAGTGGTGCATGCGCAGAACGCAAAGTTGGACTCCAGTCGGACGAAATGGATACATGCAGCAATAGTTCGATTTTCAATCGAAATATGGAGGTGTGTTAGTCGAGCTACGGATAGTCGGGCTAAGCTGTTTACATGCATTTAAACGTCCGGTTTCAGTCGGACTAAGCCAATAATTAAATTTTCTCAAGCTGCATGTAAACATACTGAATGTGGATGCACTGATGTAATCGTGTAGCTTATCTAGACTTTCCAAATGTTATCGGACCAAATGGATCAAATCCTGATAGTGAAACGAGTCGCTTGGCAGGGGTTGTATCCTCTGGTTTATAGACGTGTCTTTTACAATGCAAGTCTAAAAGTAAAAGCCTTTATGGGCCCAGATGAATCCCAGTATGGTCCCGGAAGTTGTATTTCCAATGTTGGGCCACAATGTTAAATTGTCTTCACAGCCTACTGCTGTTTCTGGGAGCCTGGTAAGGACAGAGGATGTCGTACTTTGTACAGATTGTAAATCCTCCTGAGGCACATTTTTGATTTGTGAAATTAGGCTATAGATAAAAATGACTAGACTTTCACAATGGCAAATATCTGAACCTGGTCCCACTGGGAAAAGGAAAAGCCATCTCAACCACTGTGGCACCTGTATCCACACATAGAGATTCACCGTCATTTACCTCAGTGAGGTCACAGTGCACGGTTTACCACAGGGCACTTTGACAGGATTACTTCCTGAGTTGTGATGTCACATTACTCTTAAAATTCCCTGTCCCCTGCATGCTGTGCATTGAAGATCAGCAGTGCAAAGAATGCATGAATTATTTCTATGACCAAATGCAAAACAGAACAAAAAGCACAAAGGCAGGGGGCAGAAAGTCAAGAGAGAAAGAAAGGAAAGAGGGAACGTATCAAACAATCAAGCAAAGTTTAGGTTTTGAGGAGTCCAATTTCATCGAGTCAACACTGCAGTGATGAACCTCAGCTGACCTGTAGGTGTGAAACTCTCAGGTCTCACCCTCAAAGAGCTCCCCTTCATCCACTCACACAAAGACTAGGTAACCCCCACCCGTCATTATAAGGAGAGAATGGTGCATCGGCCAAGTCACATCCACGCCAGGTGATAATTGTCTCGAAGCAGGTTGCAGAGTGTTTCCACATTCAACGCCTCAGTGAGACCTGAGGCAAGACTGAGTTCAGTCCAAACACACACACACACACACCCTCCAGCTATGTTGTCTAGAACAATCACATATTGTTTTTCACACAGATTCACAGTTACAGAATACTGTACCTAAAAACACCTATCCACTAGTGTGTGTTTGTTTGTATACATGTGTGTATTGATACACATCTACTGTCCTGTAATTGTCCCTCAGTATGAAGAACACAGCGCTCTGTGTTATGGTAATAAGACACATTGACTGAAGTCAGTGAGGGTGTGAACTGTCAGTCTCCTTCTCCCTCATCCTGCCTGTGGAGACACAAACATTTCTCTGAGCCCCTTATGGGTGGAAAACTACTGAACCTGTTCCTTAAAAAACTGACTTATAGTTTGGGTGCAAAAATCGACATGTAATTCACATTCAAAAGTCCTTGTCATTGAATCTGCACTGTCTGTGCTTTAAAGGTCCTGAACTACGCTCATATTTAGGCTCATATTTGTATTCTGGGATTCTAATGGAACATGTTTACATCCTTTAATGTTCAAAAAACACATTGCTCTTCTCATACTGTCTGCCTGAATATACCTGTGATCACCCTCTGTCTGAAACGCTCCATTTTTCTATCTTCACTGAAGGTGTCACTGGAATTGCATTGCTAGGCAACAGTTTGGGTCCATGTTTACTTCCTGTCAGCTGAGGCGGAGGCTATTCTGTTACATGTCACGCCCATCATGCCTCTTTTGATTCCATAATGAAATTTTACGGTCCACAAATCATGTTTATGTTTTGAATTTGTGTTTTGGCCTGTTGCGCCACTCACCGCTGTCTACCAGTCACGCAGTCAGTGGAGTCTCAGCATCAGTTACAGTTACGACTGAGCTACAATGGCTGACGTTGCGACTAAACCCAAACGACCTCGTTATGATTCCCAAAAATGCCAAGACAAAACTCGAGGCAAAGCGAGGGTCTATATAGGAGATGCTTTTGAACGGTGGAGACGATGTCAAAGTGGCTACTCTTCTCCTCCACAGGTAAGCTTTAGCCAAAGTTGGCTAACTAGCATCATAGCTAGACGGGGATGGACATTTCGAATACTTTCAACTGTTATTCATTTTCGATGATACATTGTAGCCCATGTGCAGGTGGGCCATCGAGCCGACTGATTTTTTTGAGAAACAAATGTTAGCAGCACGGCAAGCAGCATTAGCAGTGTCCCGGTACATAGCATTAGCAGCCGGCTCCTCCTCCGCTGTATCCCGGCAGCAGCGTTAGCAGCAGAGAAGCCGGACTTGCTCGAACAGTCCACTGGAAAAACGAAGATCAAGGACGTGGCGACGCAGCCCTGCCACGGCAGCTGCCCGTGGGTAAACAAATCAGTCTCCAGTGTGCCGCTGTCCAGCAACCTCGAATCTGTAGGGGAGGGGGGGCAGACACGACTCGCGGCGGTATTTTTGAATTTGAGTGCAGTAACCGTTTTGGCCACATTCTTACATACGGCGCCTTTAAAGTCGATGTAAAGATGGGATTGGACGCGAATTCCCAGCGGGCAGCGTGATGGACGTGATGCATCTGATGCGAAATATGCAAATTAAGTGAGTAGCACAACTTCGCTTCATATGCTGATTCCCGGGAGTCATAAAATCTGACCGATTCGCGCTGCGATAGCCAATCTCGCATGTATGATGCAAGTTTTTCACGCAATATATTCTAGCGTTCAACTCATGCGAGTATTGTAACGCTAAAATTCGCATTTGGTGTGAACACAACATAAGTGAGAGACATTGGCCGATTAATCTGCTATTGACTTTTTACCGTTCCAAACTATCGCTATTATATTGTTTTTTTTAAATATCCACTATCGGTCTGTCTCTACTTTAAATACCATTAAACCATCTGGGTCTGGGTGAATATTCGATTCTGATTGGCTGCAAAGTGTCCAATAAAAACTGATAGTGGACACCTGCTAGTTAGTTCCTGTGAAACTGTCTGTTCACTGTTCTAAATTAATGCGCCAAATTAAATTAATGGAAACAAAAACCTGCTCCAGTGTCTCTGTAAGCGTGATAAATATTTGTCTTTTCTCACCTCATCCAGCTTGTTGAGGTGGGCAGACATCAGACTGACCAGCTGACAGGTGCTGATCTTATCCAAGACTCGGCTGGACAGCTTCAGGGTCTGTAAAGGTCAAAGGTCAGGGGTCAGCTGAATCACAAAAGACACAAAGTGAATGGTTTGAGAGGAAGCCGGTGACACGTGGCTATGCTTTGACACCAGGCTGCCACGCCCCCTCACAGCCGCCACCACTGGACTTCCACATGTAAGAGGCTTTCTGGGAATGTTCAGTCATGCGTGCTCATCAAGGAGGAAACATTTAGCTGATGTTAAAAACAACAGCAAGAAAAAAGCTGACAAATGCTCACACACACACCTGTCTCACTATCTTATCAGCTGGCCTGTTTTGTTTTGCTGCACAAACTGGTTGTTACAGCTGTGACTTTATGTAGCGAGTGTTTGATTTATGTGTAATCAGGAAAAAGGCTCAGAGTGTCGCTGGCTACAAGTTTTGGGAGACTTCCAACTTGAACTCAACAACATTTCAAAGGCAATATTGTACTTTTAACTCCTGCAATGTTGCAATATAAAGTTTAATGAGATAAGATTATTACATATCACTGTTCTTTAGATCTAGAATTGATGACAAAGACTTAACATTTGTGACATGTCTTTAGACAGAGAGCCTTCAAAAGAAACTGAGGTTGGAAAATCATCTCAACCTGTGAAGACTGTTAAAGGTTATTACACAGCTGACTCTCAGTTCCATAACTACGCCCTGTCCTCTTACCTTCTTGTATATGAGACTGAACAGGGCGATGCGGATCTGCATGCCCAGGTGATGCAGGCCAAAGATGGCAGGTTGCAGCAGGAGGAAGCGGGCGGTGAAGAGGAGGCAGAGGCCGAGAGCCAGGAAGTATCCCTGACCCCGCTCTGGAGCGTGGAAAGGGTCGAATGAGGCGATGATACGACCCAAAAGCTGAGGCTGCACCGTCTTGGAAGCCTCCTACATTGAGAGATGGGACAATAAGAGGTTAGTTGATTTGATCTTTGTCTTTTTGTTTTGTTGTTTCTGGTTTGGAAACAAAAATAATTCAGCTTGTCTGGTGGTCTCTTGGTACAGGACGAAGTGACACCCTGACGAGGAGATACAGGATTTGCAATTGCAGTGCATGTCATTCATAATAAGAATTTTTTGTATTAAAAAAAACTTTTAGGTGTCAAAACCGGCTTCAAAACAGAAACCATATGTGCATAACTGCCACGGTGTATAATCCTATTTTTTTTTAATTATTTAGAATTTTGTATGTTTTACATTTTTAATTTAATGCATTAATTTATTTTTTATTACATTATTATTATTGTATTATATCAATTATATATTGTATTGTTATCATTGTTATTATTATATTACACATTGTGATACACTGTAGACTATCATCTGTTTCTTTTCCATATAATTTAGTGCTGTAGTACAGAAGAAAAAAAATGTTCAAAACACCCAATGTCACACCACTTAGCCAAGATGTCCGATATAAGAGGAAGTCAATGTCATAGTTTCACATTTAACTATACCATTTAAGTGACATCTACAAAAAATGTATGTTTTTTCCTCCTTTAAAAGGTTTTTATTTTGGGAAAGAAATCCTTATCAGCTGTGAGGATGCAAAGACAGAGAGATGTCGTATGCTGTAAAGCCTCTGAGGCAAGTTATGATTGGTGTTATTAGACTTTATAGATAAAACTGAAAGTGAAATACAATTTAAATTACTATTGGTACAGCCCTTTGAGGCCTGCTTTGTGATTGGGCTGAAATGAATTTGGACTTTGACAGATCTGTGAAGTATGAAATGTGCTATATAAAGAAATCTGCCTAATATCTAAAAACATCGTAAAAACAGCTAGAAAGTCCTTCCTGCCTTCTGAGAAAACGTCCCCAAAGCTTCTCCGTTTCCCCCTCACAGCCTCTTTAACATCTAACAGGCATTCTTGTTGTCATGACAACCACTCAACCAACTGTACTGACTGACGCAACGTCTGCTGTCACCGCCTTTCCCATTAGTCTGGGACAGTGAGGTGGGTTTGCGACACTCTGGTGTGACATGCTTGTGATGTGTGTGCGTCATGGCACTGTGGCTCTACAGGCCCTCGTCGCTCCGACAATGTCAACAGGTAACACACACACACATACACACATATAGGTGGAGCTGGCAGTGTGTGATGAGGAGGTGGGGACTGTGGGAATGTCTAAAACAAATGTAGTCATGACCTGATTCTGTGTACTGTGTTTTCTATTTTTCTAGCTGGACTGTTCATTAGAAGAGCTGCTGAATATATACATACTGTTCAGTTATTAATTGCACCTCACTCTTACACTGGAAATCCAGAGTTCTCGCAAGAGCACAATTTGAATTTGCTCAGCGAGTCACTCTGGCAATCAGTAATGATGCTCATTACCCATGCCGTTGGAGCCGAGCTGCACCAATCACATCAGTGTATCTGATATAGGCAGGACAGAGGAAAGCTAAACAGATGAAGACAGCGCTGCGACGACGAAGTCCGGAATCAGTCAGTAAACATTGCAAGATGGCTACGTATGAACACCAGTTGTTTGAAACGGCTTTGGCCGCTACAATGAACGAGTTAGACTTGGCTTTTTCTGTAAACGAGGAACAGAAGACGGCGCTCGAATCTTTCCTTTGCAAGAAGGACGTTTTTGCTGTTTTGCCGACCGGATACGGCAAGAGTCTAATCTACCAGTTAGCTCCGCTGGTAGCTAAGCGCTAAGTATTGTTCTGATTGGTCGTAGTGTTAACCAATTGCATGCAATGATATTTTCAAATGCATGCTTGGTGCCGCCCCTCAAGTTGGGCCATTTGCATTACTCATAGCCAGACCCTAAATCTTTCTAGATTTGGGTCTGGATTTCCAGGCTACCTCACTCTTGAAGCGCACAGCACACTCCAGGCACAGACGGAGCAGCAGAACATCCGGTGCAGTAAAACTAGGCAGCGCTGATCAAATATAAACCAAGATTCTGTTGCCACCTTTTTTATTTCTTGTCTAAAATGTTTCAGAAATAGAGCTTAATTCCAGATAGTTTGTTATTGACCGGCTGCCAACGACAAGTCGTGCATTACATTGCCCACCAGCGGGAGTGTTAATTGGCCCAGTGCGGTGCAGTGCATTCTAGTAGTTGTAGGTTTTTCTACCTCTTGAGCAAAAGCAAATGTCACATCAATTTTAAAAGTATTTGCGTCTTTCTGCTGCATAGTAGAGCTGAGATCGGGCCCAAAAAAACAGCCCGACCCCACCAGAGCCCGTGCATGTTCTGTCCGAGCCCCGTCCGTCCCTATAACTGTAATTATGGGCCTGAGCCCGGTTTAAACACGGCATTGTTTTTTAAGGATTGGGCCGTTACAAGGTCCCCGTCTTTTTGCTGTCATACACCAGCATCGTGCTGTGTTTGGTACACTCGACGAAGCCGACACACACGTTGTCACCGTCGACAACTAATTTAAAGCTGTCCCAAACCTCGGATTTCCCTTGAGATTGGGCCAATTTAAACTCTCCTGATGCTATTTTTTTCTTGACATTCAAAGGCTCCATTTCGCTCATTAGGCCTATGCGCAAGTGTGATGCGTGCGAAGGAACTCACCTGTGCCTTTCATTCATCAGTTTAGATCTAAAACATTTGAACTACTCAGCTGTAACCAAAAGCTCAAGACAATATGGAGGAGTCTGAAGATGCGGCACCACTAAAAAAAAAAAAAAACTTAATATTTGCTCCTAAAACTCTGAGGTGTTCTTTAAAGAAATGTGAGATTACAAAGTCAATACATTTAAATCTTTTGGTGATGGTGACGTGTTGGCGGTTGGTGTTTTTATAACAAGGCTTAAAGGGAAGGATGTTTTGGGAAGTATGGGCTTGAATGACAGCTGGGTGACAGCTGCTTATCTCCCATGAAGACAAACCGAGCCTTCATCACAGTGACTTGGATTTTGATTTCATGACTCTTGCAACTCACAAAGACAATGAACAACCATAATAAACCCAAATCAGAGCTTTAAAACGCCCCTTCAGAAAACTACAGCCATGTTTTTTACAGTCTATGGTTCTTCATCACCTCACGCTGAGTGGAGCATAAGAATCCTGAGTTTACCTCTGCAGCTCAATGCTATGATCCATTAAAGCAGCGTTTACTACTTCCTCAGTCAGTTTAAGTTAAATCTGCTTCCTCCAGAGACGACAGACAAACATACTCACCCCGAGGTAGAGGAGGATGCCAAAGAAGGCGAAAGGGCCGAGGAAGCATCGGGCCAGCGCTCTCATCAGCCTGGGCTTGTTCTTGGCTGACACCACCTCTCTGTCCCATTCTCTGCGGGGAGGACAGAGTTACAACACAGTTAAACAGCAGCACAGGCAGACTGGGAGAACAACACATTCACCAGCCAAATGCCAGCAACCTTTGGCTGTGGCTGTTCTGTCTGTCCACTACGACTCGGGCAACAAACCAGCCGTCCTTCTCTTAACTTTGGCTGGTGATTCAGTAGCAGAACAAGACGCTAATACTGTGTTTATTTATCTATTTTCACCTCATTAGAAAGTCTTCAGTCATCAATGGGAGCGTCTTTTGGAAACAAACACAAAAACATGACAAAGAACATTTTATTTGTTTGTTTCCGTATTTATTTGCAGATTTATTCGTTTTATTTTTTATGCATTTTCGTTTCAGGCAAATCTGCTCTTTGCTAGATAGTGAGGATTGAACTGTGCTGAATCTTAAGTCTGTAATGTGCATTTTTACAAATTTTTTACAGATTTATCTTATACATTTCTTGATATTGCCTATCACAGCCTTAACGATGTTGCCCTTGTCACAACACAGTTAGATTAACTTCCCACAAACTGCCCTGGCGAGTAGTTACAGCTACAGTAAGAAGCTGCATTGTTCTCTGAGGGTCATTTATAACCGGGGAGATCTGGCTGACCGGTTCAACGGTTAGTGATGAGAGAAGAGTTATCAATAGAAAGGATTAGAAAGGAGGTAAGGGAAGAGACAAACAAGGAAAAGTAAGCGGACAAAGCCTGAAGAGTTTACTGATCACAGAACATGTTTTTATTGTCTGTACCTGGGATACACAGAGTTTGGCAAACGAGAGTATATGTATGCAGCTCCTTATCTGTGGAATCGTCTGCAGAAGGACTTAAAGTTGCTCTCATTGGTTCCTCTCGTCCGCTTCAAAGCACTGTCACAGGACTTTTGTACACAATCATAGCACAATGAAATCTTGTCCACACCAGAGAAGCTCACTGAACTGAACTGAACTCAGTGATGAAGGAGGCTGACGGTACCCAGCATGCTTTAATGGAAGGTAAAGTTCACATTCCCAGAAGCCCTCACTGTTTGCCTGATCGGAATAATGAAAGCAAAATCGCCCACCACTGCTCATTCATCACCCGGTGGGCACCGTGCCCTTTCTAAAGGTCGACTTTTTAACACTCATGTACATTAACCGGCTTGTTGGCACCATTCAGCGTGACGCGGGGCCCTGGGTAACCAAGAGGCCAGGCCAATGTGAGACACTGCTGCTGCTGTTGTTAGGCAAAGGAAAAATGAAATAAAAGAGAGAAGACACTAGTATTTAATCTCCATTTCTTTTTTTAAGGAAATACAAATTTGTCAGAGATGTGGCATTTGTTCAGCGCTATAAGAACAGTTGAAGGAGAGATGGAGAGGAGAAAGAAGAGACAGGGATAAATGGAAGAGAGCAATGCAATGATGAGTATCGGCTTTAAAATGTGGATTTCCAGTCAATTTTCAGCACGAGAATACCGGAAAAACTCATGCTAGAATTTATGTAATGTTACTGCTACAAAGAAAATGTAAGAGGACATCAGTTCAGGGCATTTAAAAAAGGGAGAGTCGAGAGAGTGCAAGGTCACGTCCAAAATTGTATTTAGGTTCATTGTACTAGATTGTAGTTATAGCAAACCAAAATTGTGGGTTTTGCTCCTTAATAATAATATTAATAAACTTAATTTATTGAGCACTTTTCATACAAGAGATGCAGCTCAAAGTGCGTCACAATACAAATGCAACACTAATGAAAAAAGGAAAACAACATTTAGAGGATAAAAAGATAATCACCAACAAGCAAAATATGAAAGTGATGGTAAAAAATAGAGAATTATTATAAAATAATAATAAGAGGAATTACATGAATGAATTAAAACCCAGACTAAATAAAGAGGGTTTTAGCTGTTGTTTAAAAATGTTCATCAAGTCCGCATTTATCATAGCTTTTGGAGTGGTACTTGCCAATTAGTTTGTACGTATAATAGTGTGTAGTTAAAAACCCAGCGGCAGAAGATCTGAGAGCTCATGAAGGATTATTAAATGACAGAATTTGAAATGTAGGTTGTTCCAAAGCCATTAAGAGCTTTAAAAACAAGTAGAATAACCTTAAAATCTATTCTAAAAGACAATGGGAGCCAGCAGGGTTAGCTAAAACCAGGGTATTATGCTCTTGCTACGTTTTGTTTTGGTTAAAATGCATAAGCACATACAGCCAGCAGCAGCAGCGCCCCACCGTCCAACACCAGCACACCGTGAGGACGGAAGCAGAGGGCTTGGCGGGGACGGAGCACCTGCTGCAGCAAGCCAGCACGCCGTCTGCGGTCAATTTGACTTGACCAGCAGACTTGATTGCCTGTTAAAATAGGTGATGAGTTTATAAACAGCCGCAGGCCATTTGACCAGCTGAGTGTCAGGTGACACCATCAGCCAGCTGTCTGAACTGGGCTTATTAATGTTACCTAAAGGGAGCATATACAGAGAAAAAAGGAGTGGACCAAGACAACTTCCCAGACCAACACCAAAACGCAAACCATGTTTTTATGATGCACAATCCCCAATAGTCATGAAAAATTTCTTCCTAAAACATGAGCTATTTCAAGCTAATGCAAATGCTGTTTGGTCAATTAGAAGACAGGGCTTAGAAATGACGTTTAAAAACTGATTTCACAACCACTTAAACTAAAGTAAAAGCTAATTATCTACTTTTTAAATTTATTTTGAACTTTTTAAATATTAAACAGTGGCTGTTTGGCCATATTTCATATATGTCATATTGTCAATAAATAACAACAATAAACTAGAAAATGCATTTTTTGCTGAAAATGCGTGTGAATGCTAAAAGCTGAACTTAATTTAAAAGCATTACTACTTCAAATAGTACATTTACCATTCTAAATATCTAAAATTGTATATGCGCCGTTTGAAGTATAGAGAGATATAATCAGATCAAATATATTATAAACACCACTGAAATTACACACACTGTATCATGTCATTGCATGGCCATGAGTGAGCTTAAGACACAATTACAACATTATTTTAAAGATTTAAATTTACGATTTATTTCAAGAGTTCTAATGACCAATACCATAAAGACTAAAATGACTTAATGAGAAGGAAAGGGGGCGTACGGTGGAAAATAGTTAAGTGAACACAAGGTTAATCTGGTTTGAGAAAAGCAGAGTGACATGACAAGAAAGGACAATAACAAGAGAGAAAGAAATGAACACAAGGAGACAGACAAAGTGAAAGTAGAGAAGAGTTACCCTTGTCCATCATCTGCTGCCTGCTTGTTTGTTTGGCACACACAGCTTTGCTTTATGTCTAACCCTGTTTAAATGCCAGCCCATATTTTAACTTGACTCTGAAGGAAGGATGGCAACTGTAAACACACGTAAAGGGCACGTATGAACAACACCAAGGCTGCACACTATTAGATTATCATTATTCTGCAAATTCATTCTTCATAAAAGGAGCTTTAATGATTTTACTTCATGTAAGCTGTCTGTGAACATATCAGATACACCGTGTGCAGGGTACATTCTCCCTATATCTGTACTTACGGGTGGTTGTTTTTGATACAGTTAACAGTTACATATGTGGGTCATTTCTGTACATGTCTTGGCCCAGAAAGTCTTACAACCTGCTCCCAGAAAAAGTTTTCACGTGGGGGTCTGTGGGGACTGACTCACTCTTGGAGCCAGCTTCAAGTGGCCATGAGAGGAACTGCAGTTTTTGGAACATCCGTGCTTCATTTTTCAGCCTCAGAGGTCGCCGCTTGGCTATGACAAGTCTTATAGTGTCTTCTGTGAAAAGTGTCTACAGGGTAAGATGACTTGTTGCTGTATTGCACTCAGATCTCATTTCTGCCCCCGTGTGCGATAATTGAACATTGGTGTAAAATGGCGACTCTTCAAAGAAACAGTTGGTCTTCGATTCTGAGGGACTGACGCCAAAGTCTGATGTTTACTTGATGTATTAAGATTGATGACTTGTACTGGAGGCAAACTTCACTGACGAACCAGTAAACATGTTAAGATTTCAGATTGTGTGTGTTTAGTTGGCAGTCTGTGTGAAAAGTGCATCACCAGACAACAAAATGGAGGCATAATTTTACACGTTACAATCAATCAGCAACATCCAGAGTTGAAAAATGAAGACAAGATGGGAGGGGCAAAAGCATGCAGTTCCTCTTCTTGAGGCCAGCTCCAAAGGTGTGTCCGTCCCTGTAGACCCTCCATGTTAACATGTTTACCCTAACAGCAGAAATAATGTGTTTACATGTTTACAGCCTGGTACAAAAAACAGTTTTGGTTTCTAAAGCTTATTTCAACATTCATGACAACTGTACAGGGGGTGAATTCATATATAACTCACACATTAACATTTCATTAAGGCTTACACTTATGTATAATAAAGGGCGTGGCTACTTTGAGCAACAGGCTGTCTGCAAAGTGTCACCACAGTCACTGAGTCAGATCCACCTCTCGCTCCTCCACAGCTCCACCCTTTTGTCCAAATATGGTCACTTATGGCTCAAAAAAAGAAGGATGGGTTCAGACTACACAACATTTTTGTCTGTTCTGTCAGTCACTGTCAGATTAGCTGATTGTGGAATCATAAAATGTTGCCGTGACTTGGTTGACAGACATCTTTCAGAACGTGTGTGATGTCATCAGATTATTCTTGTTCTATTTTTATTACAATTACTATTATTTCAGTCAATGTGTCAGTTCATGTCCCACCTGAAATGTTGTAGTTGTAACCTAAAAAGTGTCACCAGATGGGCGGAGCTACATTTGAAATCACTGAATCCTCCACAACAAGTTCCTGCAAATGTTTCACAATAAAAGCCTTTTTAGAAAATGATGTCAGCTGAAATGATAGGGGCTTTAATTTCAAACGGATACAGGAAGTGTTGAGTTTGAAATGACGACATGATGCATTAATTTTAACAGGATTAAAACTAAAAACAGAATGAGAAACAAAGGCCTGTTTCTAATGTAGTGTGTTTGAAATGAAGCTGGTAGCCTCTGCAGCTGTGCTGAGTAAAGGCCCAGACTGTGACGGGAGAAGTCATGGAAGACAAAAAGAAAATCAAACATGCTAGACTTTTTGTCAGAACGCCGTGTCGTGTGGGGTTGTTGTCTAGTATGACACTCTACACGAGACAAAGCAATGGATTATCGCGTATGACACTCATTGTCGTTTACGACCTGAGCCGACACCGTACAACACCATGTCAGGTTGTAATTGGGCTGATATTGTGTAGCCTGAACCCAACATTAGGATGGATTTGCTTCTCCTTTTAGATGACAAATCACCTTATGATTAACTTAAAGATAAGGGTACAGATCCTGCTCCCTTAACGACAAAAACTGCTTTTTTAAATTCACTTGACTTTGACGTTATCTTTAACAACCTAACAGGTAACAGCCTCATGTTTTATGTTACAGTCCCTCTGGCATAAATAGTAAATAATCAAAATTGATTAACATATCAATCAGGTAAAACAACATCCCACCCTCCACAGTGAAAGCGATCCTGTATCCAGACTGACAGGCACTTATTTTTCTGTATAATGACACAAGCCAGACAACTTTCTGGATAACTAATTGAAAACAGGGCTTCTTAATGACACCTGACGTCTCAGGACCCACTCTGCAAAACTGTCTACTTCTGATCTGTTCTCCAATAACCCAAATCGCTTTATTAGCCTGGGCTACAGCATGGTAATATCCACAGTATGCTGGGATGTAAGCACTGAAGAAAAAACCCTTCCAGACAAACAAACATGGAGTTAGGTAAACAAACTTAAACTGCACAAACCTTTCAAGTCTCTCAGAGAGGTTGTCTGCCAGATCAAAAGACGGAGCCTTATACACATCTGTCAGCTCCAACTTCTTTCTGAAGCCCTTCCTCAGCAGCGGTGTCGTCCACCTGCACAAAAACCACACAGCAGACAGATTGTTGGGGATCAACTGTTTGAAACTGGGACGCCTGCGGCAACAACATGTGTGTGCATTTGAGAATATGATCACAGGTTGTGTCCAACGTGCATGAAAACTGGGTAGAAAATAAATCTTACTATGCACTCCTGAACGACACTAAGTACATATTGCAAATTTAGCATGTATAAAATGCATTGTAAAGTTAAGCAATGACTTCTATAAGATTATATTACATGTATTTGTTTGTTTGTGGTTAGAGGATAACCCATTGGTATAAAGGCCAGTGTTGGAGCGTCTGGCAGCTTTAATGTAAACTGGTGTTAGTTGTATCAGAAGTAAACCCTGAGGTTTCACAGTCAGACTAATGACAGAGGAGGCAGATAGGGTCAGATGTTTGTTTGTCCCTGTGACTAAAGCGTTTAAAGAAAGACTGTCCCAGCCTGGTGACACACTGGAGTTTACATCATCTCACTTTCTAAGCCTGCTTCTTTCTCTGGCACCTGTCATTAGTGTGAGGAATAACAGTGTCTCTTTAAACAGGACTCCTACTATATTATAATTTTAGGGAGGATATTTAAATGTCATAAAAATAGCTGGACCACAGAGCAAAAAAAAAAAACCCATGATGAATATTATAAATAGAAACAGTCACTCAAAAGTCGCACACTCCACTCACAATGCAAACTGCAATTTTACCATCGTTAATTCTAATGTTTTACTTAATCAGAATGACTCTGATCAGCCTCCACAAATACTGAAGACTCAGCAAAACCCCAAATAGCTTCCACCCGCACCTGATATCATTTTCTAGAACATACCTCGTCGGAGCACATTCACATTGTGAGCTTTCGCATAGTTTATAACTGTCGTGTGCGCATTTTACGCGCGGAATAAGCGAACAATCTTCATCTCACTGGCACTTTTAGAGTTAAATATATTATTTAAATGTCATTTGGAAGCAAAAAAAAAGGACACAAACAAGTCCGTGGCAGAATCACAGCACTTCAGATCACTTTAAACGCATACCAGTCTGAACACAATCACGGTTTGTTCCAAGGTTTTGTTTCTTCAGAGAGCAGCCTGCGCCGTGTCTCACCTGCGCCACGGAGCCAAAAGTTTCACATCAAAGCTCCTCCTGATATTAATCAACACCAGACCTCCAAATTTACACAATAATCACCATCAATGAAGCATTTATTGACAGTATTAGTCGATCCCCGTCATTTTTTTCATGTCACCAAACGAGGAACAGCATGCACCTTGCCGTCCAGAGGATGTTCACTAAAAGTGTCTTACCAAAAGAAAAATTTGGAGAGGAAGTTTGCATCTTCCACTGGTGACTTCTGCATCCTAAGTGCGCCGCCAGTTTGGTTTCTCTGCACCTGAGTGTGATCCGTGCGCGGCGCTCACATTTGTGTCCCCTGAGTGGATCCGTTCCCACACTGACAGAGAAGGTGCTCGACTGTTTTATCCTCCACTTTGTGTCTCTGGGAAATATGATGTCACAGTAGAGTTGTCTTCCTCCCCAAAAAATACGGAGACGGGTGTTTCTCTCCTGTGTGCGTCTCCTCCTCTCTGCTGTCCTGCTCCTTCTGCTCCACTGTGACACTGAGAGGACAGTCCATCCTTTATGGGCTCGCCAAAAACTCACGGAGACACACGTCACTTCCACGCTGACGAGCCTCAGGTTGCATATTGTGGCAACAAACTGAGGCAGCTAAACCGAATGAGGCCACTTTAGCAGATAGATATCGATCCATATGCAGCACCAGGCAAACAGCAGGTCAATAGGTAATTATTCTATTTTCTGTCGGAGGAAATCATCTTCTTACACAAACTATTATAGGATTGGGTTTAAAAACTTATTTTTGTGACTTAAAACTAAGTGTATAAATTGTGCTGTATGATAAATGTCTTGCCTACAGAATAATCCCCAAACATTTGCATAACCTTATCTCACATTACAACCTTCATATACAGAAAACAATTTTAAAATCACTGCTATGTGCAAAAACAAACACTTTCCAAACAGCTTGATGGTCCGAGGACAGGGGTCAGCAACCAGAACTATCAAGAACCAAAAATAATTCATAAAAATCTGCTTGGAGCTACAAAACATATTTGAGCCTTATGGTAACACTGTGTATTAAGTATAATTTAACCTATGGACATTAAAAATACATCTAAACAAGCATTTAAAAATTTTACCACAACGTGGCTCCTCTGCAGTGGGCTATTTATGATTATTTAGCACTTAAGCTTTGCAGTGTTGGTGGTGAAAGTGAACAAATCTGCCCACGAACTATTAAATTCTGTATTTTCCTTTGAGACTTTTGCTTTCATGGATTTGGTATCCATTGCTAGCCTCCCTAGGGAGGCTCAAGACGAGCTACCACTGCTGAGGTTGGAAAAATTTAGAGGAAAAGGTGCCAGGCTGTAAACACACGATGCACAGTTTAGTTGATGAAATGTTAAATCTTAAAAAATTAAAGTTAAAACAAATAAGAAGTAAATAACCATTATTCATTTTCATGTGATTTATTTTCATTTATTTATTTTTTTTGTCAAAGGCACAGAGAGCCACTAGAGGTGGGCGAAAGAGCTGCAGGTTGCCGGCCCCTGACCTAAGAGCTTTTAAGGGTCAGTGGCTTTTTCAATTCAATTACATTTTATTTATAAAGCCCAATATCACAAATCACAATTTGCCTCAGAGGGCTTTACAGCATACAACACCCCTCTGTCCTTGGACCCTCACAGCTGATAAGGAAAAACACCCCAAAAAAACCTTATAGCTTATTTCTAAAAGTCTTTGGTATATGACTACAACAACTGCCAGGAGGTCTCATGAACCTTATTTGTAAAGTGAAATATGAAATTATCAATCATTTACATGATAGTTAATTAAGACAAAACTCACCTATGTGTTAAAGTAACAGTTCACCCCAAAATCAAAAACACACACCAGAAAACATCAATTAAATGCCCAGTTCCTTTTACTAGCCTGGTGTAACTACACATTTTAGACACGGTCTGTCTGCTAAGCATTTCATTTCTATAGAAGTTCTTTGGATGCATAAAACCAGGTTTTTGACTGCCCACCTGAGCTAACATTAGTCAGCTGCTTAGATCGTACATACCAGTATAAATGTTTAAACTTTTGTCAATATGGAAATGCTACATATCATTAGCTCAGTTAGTCTCCACAATTCAGTTGTTCAGTTACTTCTATTAAAACCATGAGCACCAAAGAATAATTCATTTAGATTTACTTGCATGGTAAGCAAGAGAGACAGAAAAAAAAAGTTGGTGACTCCCTACTTCTGAGTTATTAACATTCTTTGAGTCCATAAGGGTCCTCAGACAAAAAGTATCAAGAGTATTTCATAAAAATTAATTCAAGTTCTGAGGATTGTTTTAATAGGATAAAGTGGCGTGTTGGTATGTGTTTGAATTATTCATTATTGATATGTTATTCAGAGCCTAATTTCTACACATGTAATGTTCATACTAGTTTAAATAAACAATTTGATTATATTAACCATGTTAATTGAGCAGTTTTGTGTGAAAAGAATTAAAGGTCTGTCCCAAGTAGGCCCGCTGAGCTCAAAGGCAAATAATGACCCGGGCTATACAATATTTTTCCTCTTCACAGTGTTATTTATAAATGTAGGTTGTTTTAGTGAGTTACTGAGTGTTGGAGATATCAGCCGTAGACATGTCTGCTTTCTCTCCCATATGGAACTAGATGGCACTCAGCTCGTGGTGCTCAACGTGCCATTAAAATAAATCTGGACTATACTCACCCAAGTGCATTACCATGCACGTAGATGCATGGCTGCATCTGCTAGCTCACCTAGCACCACTGAGCTAGCCATCATTAAAGCTCAGCCGAGGAGGACGTCATTAATGTTTACATCTCACCCTGTCTTGAGCACAAGCCTCTTGACAATGAGTAGATGCACGCTCTTCTGTGTGGTGACACAGGTGGTGGCTGTAGTTCAGAAAAAGGAAAATAGTTCCTACATGAAACTACTCACAACAAGGTCTGTGGATTATCCTCAGTAACTGGGTCCTGATTCCTGCAAAGGGACATTGATGTTGAGTTTCTCAAACACAGTTTTTTGGTGCTTTGAGCTCCAAAAGCTGAGTGACACCTAGTTCCATTATACTGGAGAAGACGGACATCTGTACAGCTGACATCTCCGACACTAACAACTCATACCAGGGCTGGAAACTAACTTTTTTGTCCACCTGCCACTGTAACTGGTGGATTCCAAAATCTACCATCCACTAAACAGATTACTATTATTATTTTTTTGGCTGGTGAGTGAAAAAAATCTAGCAGACACTTGCACATTTTACCAGCATTTGGCTGGTGGCTGATGCTATTTCCACCCCTGATCCATACTTATAATCTAGATTAATAATTAGCACTACAGGTAAGAGGAAAAATATGGGGTGAACTGTCCCTTTGACATGGCTGGATAAAAAAGCAAACACTGAGAGTAAAACAGCACAATGTCTAGGAGTCCTCCTCTGACTTTTTGTGTCAATATAAATGACCAGATAAACATTAACGGAGCCAAAAAGCTCTGTAGTTGAAACTCATCCCAAAAGCTGCTGCCTGTCCACTGAGCTACCTCTGACTGCTGAGCTGTGGCTTATTCATTTCACTTCAGTCAGCTGCCTCACTATCATTCACAAAACAGAAGAAACAGTTCCAGGACATCTAAAAAAAAAAAAACAACAACTTGCAACTGTTTTAAAAATCAGTTTCAGGTTAGGCACAGTTTCAGGAAGGGGAGGATCAAAACCTTCAGACATTCCATAAGGGAACAGAGATAACATGGAAAGATGCAGTGAGCCTTTGGGTGCGGAGTATCCCAACACAACAACTGTGTCTTATCTTCACTGTCAGCACTTCAGTTGTAGATACTTCAAGACGGGGACACCGGCTGGGTAAATGTGTTTGAAGAAACAAATATTAAGCTCATACTGACCCCGTTACTATCAGCTGTTTGACTGTGAAGCAGCAGGGCAGCCCTCTGGCTAGAGACAGTGCTACAGTTACACCGCCATGGGACTGATTTCCTCCCACACCATGTGTCCAAGAGGCAGCAAGATAAATCTACTGCTGACTGGTAATGCTATTATCTGCCAGGTTTTTCTTCAATGAAAAGTACGGTATAACTGGAGAAGATCTACGTGTGTATTTTGTATTCAAGTAAACGTACCAGTGCAGCACAGTCAAGAGTGCAGGTTTCATTTCAGCTTTCAGGTGGACACATGATCAAACTCTGCACAGAAAGTGACACTGATATATTGTGTGGCACTGAACTTCCTTTACTGTAACTCCACCAGTTTCATTAAAAACACACAAACAACATAAATACTGCAGGTATGAGAAAGATCACAGGAAGGTAAGCCTCTGTGCAAAGAAAGATAAATATCACTGAACAGATCTGTAGGGCAAACATGATTCGGAATATTAAAAAACTGCAAGTCCAATTTGTTGTTGAAATGTGTTTGAAAGCAGAAAAGTAAGTTAAATAAATAGAAGGAATGCGCTGGTTTGACAAAGGAAGGGATATTTGTGCAACCAACAAACTGTGCTTCAATAAAACTAAACAAACAGTGCCTCTAAATAAATCTGAATACACAGATTATCCAATCAAGACAATAAAACTACAGGGGACAATCACTCCCTGTCTGAAGACTGAATGGGACATGTTCTTTTGTTCTCCACAAACCTAACCAGAGGCTGTGCTGTTTCCTTTTCTTTCCTCTTAAAAACATTATTTTGACCTTGAATTTATCTGTATGTGTGAGAGACAGGATAAAGCTGAGCCTGACTTATCCAATAAAGCTGAAAGATGAGGAGAACCACATGAAGTCAGCCTGGTGGTTGTAATTTTGCGCAACTTTGAGTTACTGTTGCTGAGGGACACAAAGTTTATCTGCCTCTGCCTAGAGGAAAGAGTGACCTCTGCTGCACAAGGCAATGCAGCTTTATCTATTTGTATTCATACAACAGGGCAATGAAACTGCTTTACAGAGCAATAAAATATAAAACATAATAAAGGATACAAATGTGTAATAAAAGACTACAGATAAAAAGATATAACAGCTAAAATTAAATTATTAAATGATTTACAATTTAAAAAAAGCAATTAAATGTAGTAGGCAGTGTAAAAAATAAATGTTTTTAGCTTTGAGTTAAAAGTGCTCAGTCAGGCATTACATCCCAGAAGACATTCAGTGAAGCATATACAGTAATAATGTTTTTTTAATCCAAGTTGCTTCTATTTTGAGCCTCAGTAAAATCCAAATCAATGACTGACGCAACTGATTCATCAGTTACATTGGATACTTACTGTAAAATAATATGCTCAAAGACATTTTTAGTTATTTCAAATTATTAGAGGCCTGCTCTGTTGATCAGAATCAGATTTGCCAAGTAGGTTTTCACATACAAGAATGTGCTTTGATGTATTGGAGCACAACATAAACATGGTAAGGAAAAATGAAATAAAAAAATAAAAGCAATTATTGCAAAAACCAAGAAACATAAATACAGAGTAAAAT